GGTAAAATGCGACATGTCAGCTGTCCGTCCTGGCTGCGCGTCACTCAGACCTGATAACCGAATTTTGCCAAAGAGCTGGCATGGCATGGCAGCCCGTAACGTAAAGCCCTCTTCTCCCCATCAAATCAACCTCGGGGCTGCTGTGTTGGCTGGAGGATGTGGAGGCGGCGTTTGAAACGTCGGGGTCTGGAAGTCCTTCAGGGCAGGCCATCCAGCAAATCGGGGCTAGCGGAAGGCAGGGGGCTTCCCGCACCAGCAGGATCCTTGGATCATCCACCTGGGATGCGACCTGCGGCGGATGCTCTTTCACGCACAACATCCAACTTTGGAATCGATACTATCGAAAGTTTGCAATCTTAATAAAAAACAGACATGAGGTGAAGTGAGGTGCTGTGCGGTGAGACTTTTGGTGTTGTGTGTGCGCTTGCGTGTGTGTGTGTGTGTGTGTGTGTTGTGTTACCAAGGACAGCAATAAAGAGGCATTAGGGTTTCCTCCGTCCAAGAGGCGTCTACCTGCGGTAAGCGGCACGCGGAAAATTGCAACAGGGGATCGCCCGGAGCCCAGTCGAGGCCCCCCTCCCAAGCTTGCCTTGTGGCTCTGAAGCCCTTGCCATGCCCTGTTGAGCCTGGAGCCCGGAGCATGGGCTTGCTTGGGGGGTAAGGGTCAAGCGGGTGACGGTGGGAAAAGAGCCGAAGTCAGGAACGGCATGGTGACAATCGGCCGGGACGGACCAGGGTGTTGGCTGTGGGTGGTGGGGAAACACCGCTCAGCAGGCTCAAGTGGCATCGTGGTTTATCCTGCTAAGGACGACGAGCACGTAGACTCTGCGTCATGGCTCGAAATAGATGCCATATAGTGGTCAATGGTTCTACACGGCTTGCTGCGAGTCCGACTCCTGTCTGATATTGACGCTGTATCAGGTCGACTCGGCGTACCTCGTGTGCCTCGAGTGGCCCCTACCTCCCTAAGCACTTGCAAAAGGCTATTCTGGATGTCCCGGGCTCGATCCCGTTTCCTCTTCAGGCTCCTGCTCGAGCCAGAATGGGATGCTGATGAGACGGAACGAGGCACTCACTCGCGGATGACATGAGCGCCCTGGACCGGCACGAGCCTAACCAAGGTCAGTCTGGCAAGTGTTGGTGTTAGGTTGGTCGACCCGACCCCGCCGTCTGGTTTGACTCCCGCCTTGTCCAACGTGCAAGGTGCCGCCTAGACGTCGTTGGGTCGCCGCCAACAGCTGTCAAAGAGAGTTGTTTGAGTCAAGCTGCGATGGCATTGTTCTGGCCGGCGAGTCGATGGAGCGGGAAGCTCAATGGAGAGCAACAATGGGAGGACGGCTGACTAACAGGCACACTCCTGCTCGAAGAAGCAGGCACAGCACAGCAGCACAAGGACGGCATAGGGGAATGTGGGGGAGGAGAGCTGAGATTATCCACCTCGAGCGTCACCGCAAAGGAGACTGCAGGTACAGACAGTAGTACATTTGCTCATCAGTCGTAAGAGTGAGGTACATTCATACATACGTGCCCGCCTCCAGCCAGCCAGGTCCAGCTGCCTGCTCTACCGTGTAATACCGTTTGCCACCTCTCTTGTGCACATCTCATCTCGTGCAGTCTCTCATCGGCTCTGGGCCGCCCTGCCCTGCCCTGCCCTGCCCTGGGCTCCGGTGAACTGGTCCCATCATGGGCCATCTCCAAAAAAGCACAACCTACGGTACGTACCGCGCGCCATGGCTGAGGCGCCCGTGGATCCATGGAAAAGTCCATCCCCACTTGGCGTTGGCGCGCTCAACCTCACCCCAGCCCCGACGCTATCCCAAGCCCGCTCGTTCACACCCATAACTCCACATTTTCACACGCCCATTAATGAGAGTGAGAGAATGAGAGAGCGCATCTTGCTTGCACGCCCACCCTCGCAAGGGCTAGATCTCTCTCCCCAGCTAATACCTCACTTTGGACTGCAGGCAGACGCAGCGCAGCCAGCAGACGCAGTACGGGCATTAGACAGCTTCCAACAGGCATCACGACGGTGGATTCTGCGGGCACTTTGGGGCAAAAGCGGATCGCCGCCGCCGCCGCCTCATCGTCTGTCTGCGTCTGCTTCTGCTTGGAAGTGAGGTGCTCTCTTCTGCTTCTTCTCTGCTGGTGGTCGCGCCGGGGAAGTAAGATGGCTCAACCGTCATGCTTCTTTTCTCGTCCGTTCTCTTCAAATCTCTTGCTCTCCCGTCATGAGCTAGCTAGCGCACATCTGATGCATGCAGTCGGCTCGTCTTCTCAGCCTTCTACGCATCACCTACGCGCACTTGGCGGGATCCGCTAATTGATCCCTTGCCTTGCAAGACGCCCTCGTCTCGTCGTAGGTCGTTCTCATCGTCCGTCGACACCCTTCCCTTGGCACCCTCGTTCGCTCGCTCGACACCACCCTCGACGCCATTAGGCTCCTCGGCTCCTGGTCCCCTGTCCCGGTCTCAACGTCGTCGACAAACGCACTGTGTCTCTGCCAAAAAAAAAAATCTCCCCTCTGCGCTGCGTGCTTTAACTTGCTTGGTGCTATCATTGGAAACGCCCAATGGTTGCGTCGCAATGCTCGCGGTGATGGGGCGGCCCCTAACACCTAAACAAGACACCACAGGCCTCGCTCACACTATCGTGGCCCGCACTACACCACCTTGGACCATCGCTTCGTACTCTCGCCCATTCGTCTTGACGCACTACCTACCTACTCCAGCTCTTAGCTCACCCGGGCACTCTGCGCCGCCATCGATATGTTCGATACCTCCTCGTCTCAGTCCGCTGTTAGTGCCCGCCCCGTTCTCCATCCTGCCCGTCCATCCCATCCCATGGGTCCATGCCCACATATCGTTTCCTGGCCCCTGATGCATCTCTTCATCTCACTCACCTGTTTCTCCATCAGCCTCCCTCCCTCTCGCGCAAACTTCCTTCTCTCCCTCCTCCTCCATCTCCCCAAATCCTCGCCCATGACCATCTTGTCCCCCCTCCCCCCCGTTGCCGAATGAGCCCCACTGACGCCCGCCATTGCAGGGGCCCCTTGGTTCTTCTTGATCTCCTGCGTGGTTCCTTGCTGGTCCCGGTGCATGCCATGCCATGCTCGCCGCACACCTATAACTAAGTGCGATTTGCGACATCGTGGGCGTTCGCTGCTTGCCGCCTGGTCTTGTCTTTCACCTCCCCCGTCCACTCTGTCATTTGGCATCTGCATGGTCCTGGTCGTGGGCTGCTGCTGATATCAAAGCACTCCCTCCACTGCCCTTACCCAGCGGGACCTCGTCTTGTCCCCGGCCCAGAACAAGCTGGCCGTTTATTGATATCTTGCCGACCCCCCCGTCTCTCAGTCCGGATACCTGACTCGACTCGCCTCAACTAGACACCACACCTGACTTGACCCAGGCCTACCCATCTCAACCTCTCGAACTCATAACAGCTCGTTTGGCCAATCTCATCCCTTGGACAAGGCCCTGTTCACTTGGCGCATACCGCGTCACCTTCTTGTCCATCTCAAACCCCAATCTTTGTTTCTATCCTTGACCTCGGCTTCGTCCCACCCGAGTTGCCGTCACATAAGGCTCTTGTTCCCAGCGATTGTGTCTTATAGACCCAAGACAGAGCTGTTTCTATTCATCATCTCCATACGCCGGTTCGACCGCACACTCCTTAGCTCTATCAAGCCAATCGTCCTCGAGACAACATCCGACTCGCCTACAAGGGCATAACACAGTCGTATAGAACGAACTGTGGTTCGCTTCACATCAACACGGTTACCGCTGCAGGCTTCGCCCTCTCGTATCTCCCACCGACCCCAGCTGATCTACGAGGTCTTCATCTGTCTGTGTTTTTCGTTGCGGAGTCCCCCGATCCTTCGTCTGGAACAACCTGGACCTGGACAGGAGTACCAGCTCGGACCACGCGCAAGGCTCAGCACCTCTTCCGATCCTTTCCCCGGCCCCAGCCAAATCTCTTCCCGATCCACTAGGCCTGGATCTGCCTGCATTAACACGCCTTATTAAGTTGAGCTGCCAGTTTCCGCGCTTTGCGTCTCCCCCATCTGCCTCTTTCATATCTTCAGTCACACGTTGGACACGCCACCGAAACTCGATATACAGAAGATTCCTTCACTTGCGAACCGCTTGACGCATATTCCTTGGATACCCATTTCGTCTTGATTCTCATCTTTTCGAGTATTCAACTAAACTGCTCTTCTACCAACACCGCCCTACCTCACGGCCTTTCGCGCTAATCGTGCTTTTAATTTCGCCTAAGAGTCAACTACTTGGTTGTGACTCTATCTCCAGATCCGAACAAGACTTGATATCCTTTCGGAAACTGCAGCAATTTGTCATCGAGCCAGCCAATCTTAGCATGCTGTGATTAGGTGGTGGCTTGCATTTTACTGTACCCAACAACCACCGACATCATCGGCGCAACGCCCCTCGTCATCACCGAGACCACCACGAAGACAACATGGAGCTGATGGAACTGGTTGAAAACGAGCCTACCGCTCGTCCCTTTCAGTGCGATTGGCAATCATGCACCAAAGTACTTGAGCACTCCCTGAGACTCATATTCGACTAAGCTGACACTTGCCACTAGAGCTTTAATCGCAAATCCGATTTGCAGAGGCACTACCGCATACATACCAATGAGCGACCTTATTCGTGTTCTATCCCCGGTTGCGGGAAGAGCTTCATTCAACGGAGTGCCTTGACCGTTCACATCCGAACTCACACTGGAGAGAAGCCACACCAGTGTCAGCATATTGGATGCGGAAAACGATTCTCAGATGTACGTATAATTAGGGCTTACACCTTAACCACACTAACTGGCCATGACAGTCCTCGAGTCTCGCTCGTCACCGACGGATTCACACTGGAAAGCGTCCTTACAAGTGCGCTCATGACGGATGCTCTAAGAGGCAGGTTGAGACACAGATGTTTTTTATCCCCTTTGCTAACTCGCATTCCAGCTTCTGCAGAAAGACGACGATGGTCAAGCACCAGCGTCGATCGCACCAACAAGGGATGAACCCCAACGATATCCTGGACGATTGCTCCTCAGACTCGGATGATGACGAGCCTCCGTCCACTCCCCAGCACTCTGGGATGACCTGGTCCCCTCAGGATATGGTTCCCATGAACCAAGGGATCCCGCATGGCTCATTGCATCGCTCGGCTTCTTATGCCGACTTTGAGCAACAAGTCCATGGACAGCATCTTCAGCAGCAATACGGTGGCCGACAAGGCCTTCCTCCTCACGTTCCCCACGAGTTCCATGGACCGACCATGCCTGACCATCATGCGGGCGTTCAGATGGTTCATCGTCCCACGAATATGCCACGCCAGGCATACTATGTAACTGAGCAAGGAAACCCTGGTGTTGCTACCATGACGAGTGCCGTTCAGCCTCATTATCAACTCCCTCAGCAGGTGGAGCGACCTCCCATGGACATACCATATCCGGCCTCAGGAATTGCGACCTCGATTCAGAGCAGCCCTAGTGCCTTCTCTGCCACCTCGGTTCCTAGCCCAATGATCCCGGAGGGCTTCTACGCGCATCAACCTGGAAACCCACCAGCCTATAGCGCGGCGGATTCCCAGCCGGCTATCATTCAGTACCACCAACCTATCCAACATCCCATGAGCCAGTCTCAGCCGCCTGTGACTTCCCAGGCACCGCAGATCCAGGCTCCACCGGCTGACCACTATCCCCAACCGCCTGCTCAACCACAACACGAGCAGTGGGCTCATTACGACCCGCCGATTGAAGTGACGACTATTGGACAGTTGCCGGCCTACGGAACTGGAGTTTACGATATCTACGGACCGAAGATCGAGTTCGATGACCCGACAATGCAGCTACCAAGCAGCAGGCTCGCGAGCCTGTGATCGACTCAAGCTTCGAAACCGTTTCATGTTTAACGAATATTCCCTTGGATGACCATGCTCCAGATCGTCGTTTTGTTCACGACGATAACTTGTAACACCATAATCATACCCGGGCTGGACCACGCAACGATTCTCCTATCATTGATTTGATTCTTGTTCTTTTGAAGAGAATATACCCATCAGGACTTTTAGGACCTGACATGAACGGGCTTGAGAGCCTGTTGAACAAAGTCCATTGGCATTTCCCCTAGACCGCATGAAAGATACTATACCCAACTCGAGAGCATCTATTGGCGTTCTAGTCTAGCCTCATCCTGAGCGAACTCACGGGCTACTCTTCACCCCTTTTTGCGACTTTTATTCTTTTTCTGTTTGAGCGCAGCAAGCGTGATATCTGAGTCACATACGATGGGTTGTTTCCCATCAACTCAGTCTCACTATCTAATGGTTCTCTGGGATCTTTGCTGTTCTTGAGCATTTTTTTTTTACAGTCTGTTGCAGTTTGTTTGAGTTGATTTGCATTTCAAGTTCTTGCCGTTCCGGCATGAGATGACGCTGATACCCTCCAAAAAGTTGTGTCGATGTTGGATCAGGCGTACAGTTTATTCCCAGACAGAGGGTGGCGGAAGGGTGGTGGCAAGGGGGTATATAGGAGGGATTCGGTGCCATCTAGAAGACCACTTCTTCAGCGCTGACAACGGCATGTCGAGCTTGGATTCACGGACACGATCATGAGTGACGATGGGTGGGATGGAAGGAAAGACGGGAACGTGAAGGAACAAAAAGAGTTGAGCGTTCACACGAGACGAGGCCTGGGTTTCTGATAATTTGCTGCACAGAGCGCAGTAGAGGGGAAGACAGCTACCATATATACAACGCGTAGTTTGATGTTTTGGCCCTTAAATTCTTGACTATTCTGAGTAAACATTTTGGCGAGTTGTTGTCTGTCTGTCCCTTTGATAATGGCACTCTGCCTCCAACTTACACTCAAAAAACAATAGACCATTCTAGAATCAAACAGGGGTTCAGTTGTGAACCCAGACCAATCCAATGGCAACAACCTCAAATGACCTCACCGGAATCGGCGGTCGGAACATCTGGCGGCCGAGCGGAGATGACTCAGCAGCAGCCCAGAATGGGAAAGGTCGCCTCGTGATGCCGAACTGCGGACGAGAGTGGCAAGCAAACCAGACTCCCCAACAATTACCAACCGACATACCGATGATGGTTGTGCGCAATTCATCACGATGAATGCGGCCCGGTAGATTATTCTTCTCGTGTCTTTGATCAGACGTACGAAACAAACCCCACGTCCCACCTGCTTGTCCCGGGAGCCGTTGAAACATTGCAACCGACAGGACAGCCAGCCGAAACTATACCTGGACGTCATCGAACCGCTCCGACCGACCGTTCTTTGATCAATAGTCTTGAATCATCATTCTTTGGGGCATACTAGGCTCCTCAAACATCTCATCATGGCTTACAACGCCATGGTGCTGCCGGTGAGTGCCTGCGGAGTTTGCGGATTTGACATGGCGGCGGACGGCGCTGACGAATGCGTCAGAACATGGCAGCAGCCACTACAGAACTATGGCCCTCAATCGCAAACACTGTGATGGTTCCGTGGAGAGGATCGACTTCTCCTCTCACTCGCCGGTTTCCCTCATCCAAGGACAACGTCGAACAGTCTGTCGCAAGGACCAAGGCCGCTGAGCCTCAACACGTAAGTCGCAGCCTGGGTCGCGTGCTCATGAGTTTAAGCTAACTGCCGGCGCAGGCCGCCGAAACCCAGCTTCCCGACTTTCTTCGACGAGTGAACTTTGGCTCCCTTGCCTCGCGCGCAGGATCCGATGCGATGAAGCCGACTACTGCACAAACCACCATCTCCAGTCTAGGCCGGGTAGGCCTCCGGGCGTCCAACCCCATTCTGCGACATCCCTACTTTCAACCCCGTGCTGCGTCGTCTCCTTCGATCATCCGTCCGTTTATGCGATCGTCCCCCGGTATCTTGTCATCTTCTCGTGGTATCTCAACTTTTGGTGCTCTGAACACTCAGCGACGAGGATTCGGAAGTTCTAACGGAATTTCTCGCAACCAACTCGCGACTCTTGAGGAATCTGCCAACCGAAACCCCGGCAATGCGAATGCGCAAAATGCTTTCTATCAACTTCTTCTCCGAGCCAACATGCCTGCTATTCTCGTTGAGCGATACCAGTCTGGACGATTCGCGACTAACCCCGCAACTGACGATGCCTACCGAAAGGCTCTTGCCCTGCTTGGGGCCAGTGCTTCCTCGGCTGCTAACCCGACTGTGGCTTCTACCGGAAACAACCAGTGGCCTACCTTTGAGCATGCTGTGGCCAACGCTGCTGCGGCCGGGTCTGGAGTCGCCCCCAACGCCATGGGTGGCAAGGGTGAGCCCATTCACGTCATTGTTCAGGAGTCTACCCGATCTGTCATCTTCCGCTGGTTCAAGTTTCTCGCCGTTTTCGTTGTCATCACCTACCTCTGTTTCGCCGCCGTGACGATCGTGATCGAGACGCTCAGCACTTATCGTCGCGGACCTGGTGCCAAGCAGGATTCTGAAGTCAAGGCCGAAAAGCAAACCACCCGATTCAGCGATGTCCACGGCTGTGATGAAGCCAAGGAAGAGCTTCAGGAGGTTGTCGAGTTCCTCAAGAACCCTGAGAAGTTCAGTGACCTTGGTGCCAAGTTACCCAAGGGTGTTCTCCTAGTTGGCCCTCCCGGTACCGGAAAGACGCTTCTTGCTAGAGCTGTTGCTGGTGAAGCCGGTGTTCCCTTCTTCTACATGTCTGGTAGTGAGTTTGATGAGATCTTTGTGGGTGTCGGAGCTAAGCGAGTTCGCGAGCTCTTCACCGCTGCCAAGTCCAAGTCTCCCGCCATTGTCTTCATTGATGAGCTTGACGCCATTGGAGGCAAGCGAAACCCAAGAGACCAGGCTCACGCCAAGCAAACTCTGAACCAGCTGCTCACCGAATTGGATGGATTCGACCAGGACACCAAGATTATCATTATTGGAGCCACTAACCTGCCCACGATGCTCGACAAGGCCCTTACTCGCCCCGGACGTTTTGACCGTCATGTTAATGTTGAACTTCCCGATGTTCGTGGCCGAATTGCGATTCTCAAGCACCACGCGAAGAAGATCAAGGTTTCTCCTGATGTTGACTTGGAGGCTGTCGCTGCCCGTTGCCCTGGTCGATCCGGAGCTGAGCTTGAGAACATGCTCAATGTCGCAGCTCTCCGAGCAAGCCGAGCCAAGGCCACGATGGTTTCAAAGCAGGACATGGACTGGGCGTTCGACCGCGTGACGATGGGTTCCGAGCGCAAGTCGATGATTGTTACGGAAAAGGAGAAGGAAATGACGGCGTACCATGAGGCCGGCCACGCTCTTGTCCAGCTCTTCGACAAGGAAAGCTCCAGCACCCTGTACAAGGTGACGATTCTCCCCAAGGGTCCTTCTCTGGGTCACACGGCACAACTTCCTCAGATGGACAAGTACTCTTACACTGCTGCTGAATACATGTCCAACATCCGAGTGTTGCTCGGAGGCAAGATGGCTGAGGAGATGCGATATGGTGACGACAAGGTTACGTCAGGTGTTTCATCGGTAAGAAATCTCTATCAGGCTTTTGGATGAGTTGAACTAACTTTAAGTCTGTAGGATTTGGAGCGAGCAACTGATCTCAGTTTCATGATGGTGACCCTTTTTGGCATGTCGAGTGCTCTAGGCCCTGTCGAATATGGCAGGAGATACGAGAATCTCAGCTCAGTGACCAAGGCAGCAATCGAGGGCGAGGTCGAAAAGACATTGAGAAAGTCATACGAGGATGTCAGACACCTGCTCACAGAGAAGCGGAAGGAGCTGGACTTGTTGGCCAAGGCTCTCGTTAAGTACGAGACGCTGGACAAGTCTGAAGTGGAGAAGGTGATCCGGGGCGAGTCCCTCCCCGGCCGGGTGGTGGCACCCAAGGGGCCCATAACGCTACCCATCCCACAAGAGACGCCTACACCCCCAGGCCTGGGCGGTGTTGGCCAACCTCAACCTCCGGAGACACCGGCACCCCCAGCGGCGGCGGAGACATCCGATACCAACAGCTGAGCGGTTTAATCAGCAACTAAAGCATGCCAGGGCCGAGGAGAGAGTTGACGGCCCTGGTGAGTTTGCACCACGATAGTAGATGGGCAAACACGCAAAAAGAAACGAGCGGCGATCCAACTCGAGGACATGTGTTCATGGCGAGCATAGAATGGAATTGGGTGGATTGCGCTCGCGAGACATATTCGAGAGTGGGATTCATGAAGCGAGGGCAAATTTGGCCTAATGAATGGGCGCCCAGCGAATGATTTTCTATGAGGAGGAGGGACAGCGATTTGCACACCGAGTTGGAAGTTGGGCGGCGCTGATGAGGCGATAGCCATGAATGAGCAAAGCAGCCCTAATGCAGGATGCGAATCTTTGGCATAGGCCCGTGTAGTATGGATAATCCCTCTCGATCATATGCCTCAATTGTAATTTTACTTTGTATGATGCAAAGCTTGTGACGTCTGGTTGTGAAGGAGGCGAGATATGATGAAGAGCCTAAGCATCTCCTATTTCCTGTTTGGTCCAAGTGCAATGTTTACCTAAGATACCTATCAAAAGACATATGCCGGAGATAAGTAGAAGCCGATAACAAGGAAGTAGCAGGACAAAAAGAGGCAACAGCAGTGGGGGATTCCAAGGCGACCGTCTTTGCGAGCTCGAATGACGAATGCGGGGCAAGCATTCCATTCCATTGCTTATAAACCCCCTCCTTCACTCACTCGCCAACTCAACCTTGGATAACATCAAGAAAGAGCTTGAACAAGTCAGGATATACTCAATTGACAGACTGTTGGCCATTTGTAGCATCGGACGATAGAGAGATTGGATAGAAGACTTCACTACACTACCGCCATCATGACCAAGGTTCTACTCACTGGTAAGTCGAGACCCCCAACGGATGATTTCCACGATTCTAACATGTGTGTATAGGTGGCTCAGGCTTCATTGCCGGTACGTGATACCTACCTCTCAACTAGAGATACAAGGATATCCCCCGTGAACCTCTCCTAACCCATCTCACAGCCCACATCCTCGACCAACTCCTCGAAAAAGATTACACCGTCGTCACCACCGTCCGCTCCGAGTCCAAGGCCCAAAAGATCCGCGACGCCCATCCGGAAAAGGCCGCCGACGGCAAGCTAGAGGTGGTCATCGTGCCGGACATTGCTCAGCCGGGGGCGTTTGACGAGGTGGCCAAGACACCTAACATCAATGCCGTGTTGCACACTGCGAGCCCCTTTCACTTTAATATCAGTGAGTAACCTTTAACCAGTAGAGTGAGGCACGAGCTGATGTGGTGTAGCTGATCCCAAGAAGGATCTGGTTGATCCCGCTGTTATTGGCACGACGGGTATTCTCAAGGCCCTACACGCCTCAGCGCCATCTGTCAAGCGTGTCGTCATCACGTCGTCGTTTGCCTCAATCCTAGACGAGGACAAGTTTACTGACCCTTCAACCACCTTTACCGAGGCGAGCTGGAACCCAGTCACCGTCAACGACATCTCACGATCCCCTGCGACTGCTTACCGCGCCTCAAAGACTCTTGCCGAGCGTGCGGCCTGGAACTTTGTCACTGCCGAGAAGCCCTCTTTTGATCTGGTGACTGTGTGTCCACCTCTCGTCCTCGGTCCTGTCTCAAAGTACCTCGCTACTCTGGAGAGCATCAACACATCCAACGAACGTGTCGTGAGCCTGCTCCGCGGCGGTTGGAAGGATAGCATCCCCCCATGCACACCCGTACCTCTCTGGATCGACGTCCGAGATGCCGCCCGCGCTCACGTCCGCGGTCTAGAGAACCCCGAAGCCGGTGGAAAGCGACTCTTTGCCACAGCTGGCTGGTTCTCCCACCGCGAGTTTGTCGACGCTGTGCAGCGCAACTTTCCCGAGTTTGCAGACAAGCTGCCCGGGCCCGATGTCAAGGGGGGCGAGCTCCCGCCAAAGGACCAGATCTTCAAGTTCAACGTTGACGAGACAAACAAGATTCTAGGCATCGATTGGATCAAGGTTGATGAGAGTATCATTGACTTGGTCAAGTCGCTGAAGGAGTTGGGTATTTAAAGAGACATGTAGACAAATTAATACAAGTTTTTAAAGACGTGCTACACACTACATAAGGGGTAATTATACTGTAAACTCGTCAAACACACTCATAACGATACATCCATGACGTCTCATAATGTCATGTACTCACTCATCATCACCGTGACCCTTCCCACCCATGCATATTCATGTATGAAACCAAACACCTTTTATCTTCTCTTCACACATTTTTCCCTTCTAGTACCTTCCTCCCAGCCTCTCAAGGTCCGCTTCCTCCATCACCGGGCTACTTACGCTCCTCCCCTTGCCAAGCGACGACCCTGCGATGCCACTCCAGCTTCCCCCGCTGTGCCTCCCGGCGTCTTTGGCGTAGCTCTCCGTCATGTCGCGAAGCTCCCTTGCCTCTGGCGAGAGCACAATATCTTTCGCCAGTTGGTGGGCAGGAGGACAGACTGTCGGACCCTTTCGTGGCGGGCTGGATAGGGGTTTGGTAGGGGTCGATGGTCGGTTAGGAGGCGTGGATGGAAGTGCCCTGGTCGGCGGCGGTCCTGGACTGACGAGTATCTTGAACAATCCCTCACGAGATCGTGGAGGTCGTGGTGGAGAGCCATTTCCATGACCGGGCATCTTTTGAACAGAAGCTGGAGGAGTGACACCGCTGAAACTGGTCGAGCCGTCGTTCTGCCCCCCTTCTGGCGCAGTCATGACAATCATAGGGACAGGAGGAACTTGGTCCGCACTGTAGATCTTGGGTGTTCTCTCATGCCTTGGCGTCAAGTTGCTACTGGTAGGCGAGCAGAGAGGGGATGCAGGAAATCCTCGATGCCTGCTACTGGTCGGCGATAGACTTGGCTCGCTGAGCGGAGGGAGAAACTTGCGCTCCCTAAGCCGCGCTGGCGGTGTCAGGGGCACGCCATCTGCGTCGGTGTGAGAGAGAGTCGGCGAGACGAGGGGAGTAGGTGAGTCTGCAGGGGGAGGTGATGTTGGATGCTTGATGAGCCTGCGGATGTCGTTTCGACGAGACTTTCTCCTCCGAAGGAGACATATGACAAGGAAAATGACAGCTGCTAGAATGGCAACAGACAAGATGGCTATGGTGATCTTGACGCCCAGGGGAAGTCCGGTTTCATCCTTCTTGTCTTGCTCCTTGTTCGAAGGCTCCGAGGTGGTGACTAACGAGGGATCGGTACTAGCGGAATATGTTGTATCGGGCATTGAGCTCTGCGCCGGTGCTGATGTTGAAGTCTCAGAAGCCGTAGACCTTTTCGACGTGGCATCCTCTGAGGTAGATGCCTGAGATGTGCTGGATACACTCTCGAACGCTTCATCCTCGGCTCTATCTGCTGGCTGAGCCTTGTGACAATGAACATCACCTCCGTGAGTAGACTCAGGATCGCAAACGTAGTCTACGTCTGGAGGACCTGGATCTACTATCGAGTGATAGCCGATCCTGATAGCAGTGTCAGCTTCAACTCACTCACAATCTCAAATAAAAGGTATCTTACTCCTGACAGGCGTTGATGAACCAATTCACATTGGCTAGTTGCTCATCAGCACCTCGTGCCCTCAGACCTTCCAGTGTCGCACATACGGTCTCTCCCACGCTCGCCGAGGTTATCGACGCCACAGAGCTGAGAGTCGCAGCAGTAGAGGGCCCTAAAGGACCGATGCTGCTGCTCGCCCCTGTCCCCCAGCGCCTCGCACGCTCGCTCAAATGTCTCATCCTTGGGCAACAGCTCCCGCAGGAACCTCTCCCTACACATGGCGATGCATTGCGGCGGATCCTCAACATCGGCAGCGATGAAGCCCCAGCCGTGGCCACTACTGCATCCTCTCTTCCGGAGTCGACTCGAAGCCTGGCGTGCCATGGGATGTGATTCAAGAGGCAGATAAAGAAGAGTGATGGTTCGGGCCGAACATGCTCTTCGAGGGAAGGGCAATATGGACAGGGAGGTTTCAGCCAGATATGAGTTTGGCAACTCGAAACGACAGAGCAAGAAAGCCGGGACGAACAGTAACCGGAGTAATGTAAACGGAGAAGGGTGGGATGGAAACAGCAAACAGAAAAGACGGGACTCTGCAAGAGGAATGGGGGGAAGGGCTCAAGATGGGTTCATTTTGATAAACGGTCTTCACCCACCAACACCGCTGCTCCCCCCCCTTCTTCTTGTTCGTGAGTCTAGACGCACCAAGCAGAAGCACAAGCAGTGATAGTTCTCACGGCAGGACCGGCAGCATGGACAAGATCAGGCTGGTGTGTCCGTGGCCACCGGCCGTAGGGCGTTACACCGCCCCCCTGCGGTTACCCGCGTCCGACGAGAATAGCCTGGTATGGTAATGAGTGATAGAATGGCCTTGTTCTTCTAGGAGCCTTCCAGCGACGACGCGGATGCCCACGGGTTGCTGAAGAGGAGGGGGGATGCCTGCATGGAAGCGTCCATGGCGGGCTTCAGAACGAGCCGCCCTGCGTAGTCCCGAGAGGCTGCAGCGACGAGGCGGGTCAGCCTTTCGAGGCCTCTGATGTCGTTTGTCTATTGCAGCGCGCGATCAGAGCGCCTCGTTGCGAGTAGCCATGACCAAACGGGAGTCGGTGGTGTGGCTGCCACGATGGGTTTGCACTCTTCTGGCCAGACATATCCGTCATACATTGTCAAAGTTGATACAGTAGGAGGCAAGGTGAGCCGGCAGTATGTCACTACCATGGACCAACTTGGTGTTCACTGTTCAGAGATACTGCCACATCTGTCTGTCTTTGTGTTGGCATATCAGCAACACCAGCTCAGAAACTCTGCCCGATGGGGTATTTCCCCAGTGGTTCCTCAGAGCCCTCGCACAATGGGGGTGCCTAACAAAGGCCTTCTTCTCCCCCAACTTCCCACTCGTTGTGTCGCATGCCCAAGACTCCCATGGCCATTGTTTGGCAGGTCAAGCGAGCAGTCGACCGGGGTCTTGCAGCCTGGTAACCAATAGCAACAGTCCTTTCGCGAACAGTGTTCAGCGCAATTGCTAGGGCTGGGGTGGGAAAACACTGTCTCGTCTCGTGCAGCTTGCCGGCAAATCTTGCAGATCCTGGCTTGAGGCAGACATTTGAGCCTGACGCATTCCGTTTTGCTCTCATTGAGCCTCATTCGTCTTTTCTTTCGACGACAATCATGCCATGTTTTTTGTTTGCTCTTCTCGCTCGAGGCTGGGCCCCATCCTGTTGCGTTGCGTTTGGCGTCGTGTGGTTACACAAAGAGGCCTTCCCCGCCATGCTTCCCGCGCCTGAAGCTGAGTTGATAACGCGCGTCATGGGCTGCAGGATTGCGGTGAGAAGGAGCCAAGAGACGGCTGATTGTATGCCGTCATTTGGAAGCTTATCCAGCCAGTTGCGTCTTGAGGCTCTCGCACGCGTGCCTTGGTTGACGGTCAGCCCAGACGGTATCGTGCAGTTCTCTCCTCTGCTCTGACCTCGCCAGCCCCTTTCTTTCCTGCTGCTACCCTGAATCAATGCTCAGAGACAATCACTTTGTCCATGCATGTTTGTTTGTCAAAAATCTGCAGCACACTTTGCGGTGAAGACCAGAGACACCTCCTAACTCAGCGTAGTGACATGGCAGGTGCATCAAGATGCATGACATCCAACGCTGAGGCTGACTCGGCACAACCCAGTTCGAAAACAGTCGACAACGTGCGCGCAATCACTTACTGATAAATGAATGGGCTTGACATGCCCACCTGAGAGTTGTGCAACGACGCCTCCGCGGCAGGGGTGGACAGGGGACGAACGCCATCGACCTCTCACGGCAGAACTCGGTAGAACTCACGTGGGAGTGTCTTTGAAGTGGTCGAGTCTGGGCAGTAACCCCCAAATAGAAGCCTATTGTCAATGTAACCAACGGACCCGTGAGAGCGATTGGCCGATGCTGGATCCAGGTTGAGGTCCAGCTCAGGGACAGTCTGACAGCCCAGAATACCGCAGCCGGTCGAATTGGGTTGCGCAACCTCGTATTTCAGTTCAAGGCCCTGAGGTCGGCCAACGGGACGATATACATCCCGGCATGGGACAGCGAACCACAGAGTTGTCCATGAGAAGCATTGACCTAGTCATCTTGGAGAGAATCGTCGACGTCATGCTTCGGATTGTTCCATCCCCAGAAGTTTCAAGCATCCGAAAATGGCGACGAGTCAAGCACCAGATAATTTCGGCATCACATCTGCTGCTCCTCGTCACCTTGGTGATGACCCTGTGATAGGCGCAAACGGGTCGTAGTCACATCGTACACGAGCTTGAGATTGTTCCGAAGACACAACAACTCTTCCTTCCCGTCCTCGTCTGATGTGCGCGTTTGGTAGACTTCCGAGATGACGGATTACACACTTCCGCAACAAGGCATCATCTCCTTGACCAAGTGTCACGTCGTCCTCAAAGGACCGATACCGACGACCTGCGGCCCGTCATGCATTAGCCTCGCTGAGGCCTCCTCCTCATCCCGTTTGCTGATAATGCATCCTGAAGAAATGGTCCGTCGACACAGGAACGGTAGCTTGCTCCAAGTTCTTGGGAGGCGGGAAAGAGTCCTTGTCTTGCGCAATCAACAAGTACTCGAGAAGCAAACAATTTGGCTACCGGCAGCCCGATCTGATGCAATCATGCGAGAATGGATCAGGCGTTTGCGCAGCTGACCGCGCAGAAAGGGGTTCGTTTGCCTCGGAGGACGAGAGACTCGACAGATCCCTGATGATGAACCATGATTCTTGATGCTCAGGACGTTATTCCATTGCCTCAGGTTGTTGTTTCCATTCACAACCAAAGGGGAAGGAGAGGCACACGTGACATCAGAGCTTCCCCAGATCCAAATATCCCGAGCCTCGGCTCCGGGGCGGCCCCCTCTTCGCCCCACATTCCCCGGCTTCACCAAGAGCTCTCGGGGTTATGATGAGGGGCCGAGTTGCCATGAAAACCCCATTAATCTATTCATTATAAGTTGATCTTTGTTTTTCTTGTACCATTGCGTGTATTTCATTCATCTCAAAATGTCGGACAAGGCTCAGAAGCGCATCGAGGCCATTGGCAATCAGCTCCTCCCTCCAATCAACAAGGTAGCTCCAGGATCCAGTAAGCTACGCGTCGAGGGCAAGGTCGTCATCATCACAGGTATGTGTTCAACTCTTGGATATTCCACTCATCTCTCACACTGATCTCATAGGCACCAACTCACCATTGGGCATCGGTCGCGCCACCGCCCACCAGTACGCAGAGAGCGGAGCACGCGCCCTGTATCTCTGCGACTTCAATGACACACATCTGGAGACTCATAAACAAGAGATCAACGCCGCATTCCCAAAGGTAGAGGTCCACGTTCGCCAGTTCGATGCCGCGGATGAGTCAAAGGTCAAGGAAGTGGTCCAAGATGCGATTGGACGTTACGGCCGCTTAGACGTCTTCTTTGCCAACGCAGGCGTTGTCGGCAGAACCACATTGTTTACAGAGTTTGGAGATGAGGAGTTCATGTCTATACTCAAGACAAACACTCTAAGGTATGTCTCATCTTACATCTCGACTCCACAGCGGGCATCAGCTTAATGAATCCGTCCAGCGTCTTCCTGGCTGCAAAGCACGCCGCACCGGCCATGCAAAAGACATCTGCCGAGAAGCCCCGGCCTGGAGGCAGCATCATTGGCACGGCTTCCGTCGCCGGCATCCGCTCCAACGCCGGTTCCACTCCCTACTCCGCCTCCAAGGCCGCGGTAGTGTCCCTTGCGCAGACGATATCGTTCCAGCTCGCGGGGACAGGCGTGCGCATCAACGCCATCTGCCCTGGTCTCATCGAAACGGGCATGACGGCCGAGGTCTACCAGGCGGCTAGGGCACGGGGCAACGAGAAGAAGATTGGGCAGCTTAACCCAACCAAGAGAGGTGGCCACGCGGACGAGATTGCCCGGGTCGCCCTCTTCCTGGGTAGTGATGAGAGCAGTTACGTTAACGGACAGGCATGGGCCGTCGACGGAGGATTGAGCGCGGGACATCCCTTTGTGCCAGGAAAGCTAGGCTAGTGAGCAATGTAGTAGACATGCTCAATAATGGCGCCATCGAGATGCAAGATCCAGGAGAGAACCATCTCTTGGACCAAGTGTCAGTCACACCATCGATTGCGAATATCCACAAAGCGTCTTCCATGTCGAGTTGAGGTTGTAGTTTAGTTTACCTTGAACAAGAGAAAAACCGGGACCTGGTCTGGGCTAATCGGTCGAAACACCAATCGAGCCCCGTCCCGACTCAAAGAACAAGCATCCCACCCCCGAACTCTGAAACGCGCAACGACGGAGACCTTGGTGATGAACCCCCTTGCCGTTGTAGCAAGCAAGGAAACATCTGACGGAAACGCGCCCTGGCAAACATCAGCCGCGTCATCCCTCCCACATGCCGATACGCTGAGCGCCGCGTCCCTTCAACTCGAAACCCGTCCATGTTTAACGCCCAGCATCGGGCTTTTTCTCTAGTCCAGTCCGCTAGATCTTCCGCCAAGCAGAGGCTGGTGGATCCTGGCACTGATCGCCAGGGGGTTCATGAGAACAGGGCGACTTGAACGAATCTGGATGAATCCATCCCCAATTCCATGTCGTTGGAGGCTTGTGAGTGAAACCATCCACTTACCATCGGAGCCGGGATTGACGCTGTCAGCGTGTAACACCCACGGCGGCTCCGAATCACGGAACAGGAGTCGTGAGAAACATGTTGATCCCCTGATGTAGAATGTTCAAGTTGATCAGATATAAATGGCCGTCCCTCTGATGTCTTGAACATCTTCTACCATTCTCTTCATCGCCACCTTCACACGCTCTTTTCTTTCAACACTAGACATCCAGTTGCCGGCATCTGTGATCCGTCTCTTACACGATCTTTTCCCCTTTCATTCAAATTTTCAAGTCTCATCTTTCCTTCTTCCATCACAATGGCTGTCCTCTCTCTCATGACATTGGCCTTGGCCTTTTCCTCCCAGGCTATGGCCGCCCCTCGCCCTCGTCCTCAGGGCTTCGGTGATTTCCCCGGAGGTTTCCCCGGCAGCGGACTCGGCGGTGGCATCCCAACTGGTCTGCCCAGCGGCATTGGTGGTGGTGCTGGCGGTCTGCCCACTGACTTGCCCACTGGTATCATCCCTGGTGGTGATTCTGGTAGCCTGCCTACTGGTCTTATCCCCGGTGGCGACGGCGAGTCGCCCGTCCAGACCCCCGGTGCTGGCTTCGGCGGCAACTTCCCCAGCGGCGGTGGTAGCTTCCCCAGCGGTGGCTTCGGTAACTTCCCCGGCAGCGGCAACAGCGACGCCCCTATCCAAACCCCCGGCGCTGGTTTCGGCGGCAGCTTCCCCAGTGGCGGTGGTAGCTTCCCCAGCCGTGGCAGCGGCGATGCCCCTATCCAGACTCCCGGTGCCGGCTTCGGTGGCGGAGACAACTCTATCATCCCTACCGGCGGCTTCGGTGACATTGGTGCCCGTGACGCCGCTCAAACTCCTGGCGCCGGCTTTGACTTCCCTACCGGCGGCAGCGACGGTGGTGACGCTCCTGCTTTCCCAACCCAGACCGGCGGCTTCGGTGGCTTCCCCAGTGGCTTCCCCAGCGGCGATGCTCCCGCTTTCCCTTCTCAGAGCGGAGGTTTCGGTGGCTTCCCCGGATTCGGCGGTCGCCACGGTGGTCGCCACGGTCACCACAGCGGCTCCGAGACCCGAACTCCCGGTGCTGGCTTCGGTGGTTTCCCCGGCGGTGATGCTACCGACGCTCCCGCGCCCACTCTTGTCCCTACCCCCGGTGCCGGTCAGGGTGGCTTCGGTACTGCTCCCGGAGGCAGCATTCCCACCTTCATCGCTACTCCTGGCGCCGGCTTCGGTGGTGCTGAGGGCGCTCCTTCTGGTGCTCCTGGTGCCATCCCTACCTTCAGCGCTGCTCCCGGAAACGGTGCTGGTAACTTCCCCGGCGGTGATGACAACCAGGAGCAGCCCACTGGTGCCAACGACGCTTCCGGTGAGATCCCCACCTTTGCTGCCACTCCCGGAGTCCCTCTCGGCGACAACAACGAGGCCACTGTCGCTCCCTCTGGTTTCCTCACCCAGACCCGACCATCCTTTTAAAAGATCTGTGATTTGGAGAAGTTTTTGACGGGTATTCCTGTCCCAAAGATAGAAGGGGAGCTTTCGATATGTGTATAATTCTGTGGCCAAAAGCAGGTCTTGGTCCTTCATTTTGTATCTACCTCCATGGCAGCGCCCGCTGTCGTCAATAGAGCAATCCTGGCGAGCATATCTTCCTTGAAGTGCATGAAATCCGCGCGCTTAGCTTCACTAAGCAAGTCGTACTTGTCTTGAAACATGGTGTCTGCCTTCTTGACCTGCATCTTGGGCATCGTCTCCTCGTCAAGCATCTCAACGTCGTCAAGTTGGCTTCGCTGGGTCAGCTTGACAACATCCGCGATACCTTGATACCAGTCTTCAGTGAGCCATGCCCTTTCGTTGACACGAGCAACAGCATCGTCAAACTCTTTCGTCTTCAGACTGCTCCACCCATCCCAAGCTTCGTCTTCATCCAAGCCCCTGACAGAGGTCTCACTGCGAGCTCGAGTAAGTAGAGCAAGAATCTCTTTGCGAAGTGGAACATAGCCTTCTCGGTCGATCGCCTCCCCTGATGCGAGGGCTTTGACACGCATGGTGACAAAGAAGTAAATGGCAGCAAACAAGGCTGTCACGTTTTTCAGAACCCATTCATCCTCGGTCCTGCGGCCTCCCGGTGTGACGATTGCCTCCATACCGGCCAAAATCGTGGGCGCGAGCTTCTTGTGATCAGTTTCCTCGCACAAGAATCGAGTCGTGGGCTTTATCCATGGATGAAGGGCGTGCTCTGAGACAGCTTCCTTCTTTCCCGTAGATTTGGTCGGTGTGCCTGCATCCCCCTTTAAAGGGGTTCGAAATTGGGCAAGGCTTTGATCTTTTGTGGGTGTCCCACGAGATGGTAATGGTCGCGACCCAGATGCCGGTGAGCCTCCAGCATCCCGAAATCTCGAACTTGGTGTCCTCACCCGGCCTGATGCAGCCCTACCAGGCGTTGTGGCGCTATTGGGGAGGATGTTGTCGAGATGGCCATAGAGTCGCTTGTAGATGCGAGGGGGAATAGGTGGTCGTGGTTCGATAGGTGGAAGATCGAGAGTGATTTTTAGTCTACAACTGTAAGCTTTGAAGATTTCTGTCAATCACCAGAGATCATACCGGTCGCACGCAATGTTGGCACAAGCATAAAGCCTAGCAATCTCTTCCTCGGCCTTGAGGGTACTTGCATGAAGTCGGGACTGTGCAAGCAATGAACCCGCGAGTTCCACAAGAGCTGGTGGTAGATCAGAGCCGTATGTCGGCATCAATGAGAGCAACGCCTGCTCGATTTGGCGACTCATGGTGGCAGCTCTGACGTTTTCGGGGGTCGTGCTTGTGAGATGCTTGACGAGGATCGAGGTTTGAAGTTGGAGACGCGATACGAGATTGAGACGCGTAGCGCCGCAGTCACTCCTGACGCCTGGTCACGGGACCACTATCTCCATGGATCTCATTGAAGATGCCAGCTATTCATGTCCCCCACCAAATTACTGAGCATGCCGATCACTTGGCAAGACAAATGAATTGCTTGATCGAGAGACATCAATGATGGAATACGGATAAATATGAAACCAGAGAGTCGAGTGGGCTTGATCCCCTAAAACATACGTAGTAGATGCAAGCTGCGGTTCGAGATGTCAAAAGTTCCTCCTCCATACCATCCTCCAATGTCGAAATTCCAGCAGATGAAAACGTCCTAGCCAAGCATCTTCAGCGTATCTCCTCCCCGTAGCAGTTAAGCTTTCAGTGGCCTCCCCCACCGAGTGACAGCGTGCGCCCCTGGCAACATCCACCACCATTACGACAGTGGCCAGCTCCAGACCAGGATCGCTGTCGGGCTAGGTATCCCCGTCCGTCTACTCAGCATCTCCTTTAAGCCACGCCGTCGCCAGCTTGTCCATATCGTCAATTGCCTCTGTGTCGGCGTCGCCTCTCCAAGCCGCAAGTCCTGAGCCTCTTGCTGCACCTCGGTCCTCGACGCGCCAGTCATCATCTCACGATGCGCCCAAGTACCCTCTTCAGCGTCGCTTTTGCGACGTCGGTGCTCGCCCACGGCGGCGCCCATTCTCAGAAGCCCATAGTGGACTCCAACGCAGACTGGATGACGAGGCACATGGCGGGTATGCTACTATTTATTCCGTACGGTTAGAGGATCTCAAGCTGACATCTTATAGAGGAGCATCACGTACAGGGCTGGGACCCTGACTCCTTCTTCTCCCTCCACGACTTCAACAGCGACGGCTGGTGGCAAGCCTCCGAGCTTATGCGCATGTACGGCCTCTTTGACGACTCGAACAAGAACATGGAGCAAAAGCAGAAAGACGAGATCCTTGAAATCCTGCTGGGCCTCCTCGACTCCGACGCCGACTTCTCGGTCAGCCGCAAGGAGTGGATGGACTATGTCGGCGCTGGAAAGACGCTCCCCGATCTGGGCAGTGGACCTGGCCATCACGGCGACGACGAGTACGAGTATGAGATCCATCACTGGGAAAAGTACCACGATGAGAACACAAAGCTCGAGGACTTGACACACCCCGAGGACATTGAGCACTTCAAGAAGCACGACGAGATGGAGGACGCCGAGGAGAGGCTCGAGGCCATGCAGAAGCTCGCCATCGTCGAGTCCAACATTCCCCAAAAGTTCCGGCGACAAGCTTAAGAGGCCATGTAGATGATAGACACGAAATTGTATTTTACTCATTCGACGGCGAGAGATGTAGTGGGAGCGAGGCGTGGGGAGAGGCGCATGATATCATGACGGATGAATTACACTGAACAACTTGTTTTGGGATACATGATAACAGCTAGATATTGTAAACACGGACATCAAATACACAGTGCCAGACGCCTGGCGCAAACGTCTTGACCAGCTCGACATGCTCAACCTCTGCCGCCCGCCCCGTGTTCTGGCCCCAGCCATCAAAGATGCACTGTATCTCACTCCGCCTTGTCTCAGTGTCGTTGGCGCCCACGTTCTCGTGGAGATGCAGCCGTGTCTCACTGGACGGGGCCGACATGTCCCATGTATGCCTCCAAGTCGGCTCGCTCGTGGGCAAGAAGCCGCAGTTGATGTGTCGGATATCCTGGGCTATGCCTTGAGCCTGTAGGGACTGGATCCTCCGAAGAGCTTCCTCGTTGCTCTCCAGGAAGACGACGATCTGGTCCCCACCGCTAAGGATCTCTTCTTCCGGAAGCGTCAGGTCGTCACCCTGGACGATGCGTACGCTCCACCCGTTTGCTCTGGCGCCCCGTCGTAGACCTTCCACGCTCCAAGGGTTGATCTCCCAGCATAGGACTCTCATTCCGAGGCGAGCGTAGGAGAAGACAAAGTAGCCGATTCCTGCGTAGAGGTCGACTGCCCACTTCTCATCCCCATTTCTGTCCTTCACGGTGTCTCCCATATCCAGAAGCCTCGCCTTTTCCTTGACGTTTCCTCGGCTGAACATAGTCCATCTAGGTGCCCAGGTCTGGAAGATGCCATTCTGCTTGGTCGATACCCAAAGCGTCCTGTCGAAGTCATGTTGTGATGGTCCCTCTGTCGATGTACTTGTTGGTCCAAAGTCACCGTAAAAGGTACGAAGCCCACTGGGACTTCTGAGCACATTCTCTTCTGCCTCACCCTCAGCCTTGTGCAGAGGAATACCCTCGTTCACCGCAAGGTGAGTCAACGGTTCCTTGGCTTGTCTTGAAAGTTCTTGTAGGATCCTAGACCATAGCCGGTCACGGGCGTCTTGGCCGACACCTTGCAACGTGGTTGTCCAGGGTATGTTTGTGAAGCTGCCCGTGGGTAGAAGCGCCATCGGTTCATAAATTGTGAAGCGCTTTGGCGCACTGTTTAGAAGCCCATCTCGCCATGTTTGGTTCGTGTCGGTATTTTCGAATGTAGTTGAGTGAATCCAGTCACGGATGGCGACTTGAATTGGATTTCCTTTTGTCGTTTTTGGTTTTGGCATTTTGGTGGCAGATGTGGTTTTGGATAAAAGCTGCCCAAAAGTTCAACATAGTAGAAATAGCATACCTATCCAATGATGGAACACAACACTGCAAACTTGTCATAGTTAGCCAACACATCAAATTAATAATGAATGTACATCAAACGAAATTGTTCAACATGATCATAGTTTAATATAACGACTCTACCCAGAAACCGTACCCATCCATTCCCACTGATGTCACCACAAGTCCATGGGTATCGTGACCCTATGCTATTCTACATGCAAGCCATCCATTGCCATTAATTTCCGTTCCGTTATGCGTATACCGTCCCTTCATCACAGGAAGTAATCACCAGGGCCCCTCCTGTTCGCAGGGACATGCCTCTGGTCGTCAGGAACAGCCGAGAAGATGCTAAATTTCGGGTTTAGATCCTTGTCCACGGCCATGATAGATGCAACGTTGCCGCAGCGGTAACAGTAGTTGGGTGCTGACCACACAGTCACCACCGAGTTCTCTGGAAAATGATACTGTTCATGGTTAATAGGGTTCAGTGAGCAGAAGAGAGGAACATACCTTGTATCCTTCGTTGACGAGCTGATGGGCTCGAGCAATCAACTTCAAGCCGTTGACATGATTAAACTCCGTCGCTACCTTGTCTCCAAACAGCCAACCAGCACCACGAGGGCTAATGGCCCATGTTTCGACATCTTCGGGGTCTGACCACACAAGGTCACAGAACGCACCCTCGTGGGGGATCTCCTGGGCTCGAGCCACCACTCGGATTTGATCAATAGTCCTAATCTCGGGGCTCAGCCCTCCGTGGACGCAAAGAATCTCGCCATCGATAATGGCGGCGAGGACAAGAAAGTCAAACACGTGACAGCAGGCCTTCCAGACAGAGGCGTTGCCGTACTTTTGCTGGCACTCCTCATAGAATCCGTAGACCTGGGTAATCTGCCGCGATTCGTGGTTACCACGGACCAGGACTATTCTGTCTGGATACCTGTCGAAGACGTGAGCAGCGAAACATGAGAGGTCCATCCGGTGAAGCTCACTTGGCCTTCAAGCACATTAGTAATGTGAAGGTTTCCAAACTGAAGTATCCGCGATCCACAAAGTCTCCCAGGAAGATATATCGGGTATCGGCGCTCTGACTTGACGACGCTGTAACAGCAACTCCAGAGTCTAAGCGGTCTGCCACGGTCGCATCGGGGTCCTCTTCGGCGTCGTCTCCCTCGCCCTCCTCCCCTTCAGCTCCGCTCGTCGCCGCCCCATCGCCTGAAGCCTTTATCTTCTTCCTGAGCTTAGGGTTTGTGATCTCGGTAGGGGGCTCGATGTCGTCCGAGGTGATGACTGTGGTCGCGGTCTTTGGCGCCTGCACGTTGGACTCGCCTGGCATACCGCCAGAAACACGGAAGAGCTCGAGGAGATCGTAGAACTGGCCGTGGATGTCGCCGCACACGGTGACAGGGGTGCAGACAGGCTGGATGTTGGACTCTGGATTTCCGGGTCAGCCATCAGCGCTGGGCACACCCGAGCACCGCTCCTCACCTTCCATCAAAATCTCCTTGACCTTCTCGCACAATTCCTTCATGGCCCTCTCAGGCAGGTAGTGGCACTGCTTCGCCTCTTCCAACCACTCATCAAGGCCAGCATTGGGCCCCAGATTCGCGGGGCCCGGTCGAGGTACACTTGCAGCCATATTCAGGCATGCCCCGTCGCGAAAAGGTCGGGGGAAGGATATGGAGGGGGGAATATATATCAGCCCAGCGCTGCAAGGCGATGTGGTGGTACCTTGAGGCGACACGGGAACGAATGGGGGTGGGGCTTAGATAATGGAGGGGTGCGATAGTGAAACGCCGGAGAATCTTCGGGCCTTGAGGAACGCCTGTTTCTAAGTCAGACGAATCGAGGATGCTTTGAGTTGGAGTGTTTTCTCGAGTTCATGACGAGAACCTTTACTCTTGAATTCTTTACAAATATTCGAAGTCCACGCGACATTAAAAGCACCCAAGTATTGAGTTCATTCCTTCTCTGCCCGCACGTGAGAGAGAGTCCCCTCTTTAATCGCATATCCTCCAAAACCGCCCCACTGGCTGCTCGGCGGGGCATCGCCCAAGGCCGCGACTCATCAAGCCTTACATTGGAAGTTTCCTGGCTGATTAGCCACTCGGCCTCGTCAATATCAGCGCCCATCACCAGAACCAGACACGTCCTGCGGCATGCGCAATGTCAACTCAGGCACCGCAAGTCCTGTCTCGGCGGGCAAACGGGGTTCTCCCGGCGCCGCCGAGTCAGACTCAGACATCGGAAACCACAAAGGTGAGTGATACATCCATGTCGCTCATTCCAGGAGTCGCTCGTATCTGACTTGTCTCAAAGGGAAGGGGTTCGCACGACAACAGCGGGCCCGGAAAATCTAGGGGGAGAGGCTCGAGTGCGAGATCTACTGAGGCAAACAAGGTGGGATTATTTGCGCAGTGAGATGTAAGAATTGGTTGGGCTTGGACTAATCATGACGAAGAAAGCGAATGAAGGCGACGCCCCTAAGCCCGCCAAAACCAAGTCTCACAATGAAGGCGAGAAGCTCGTCATTCGCCGTCTTCCCCCTGGGATGACGCAGGACGAGTTTGTGACGATTCTTGGAAACGCCTGGGAATTGGGCAAGGGAAGAGTTGATTGGTTTTCTTTTGCTCCTGGCAAGATTTCCACCGAGTATGCCACGATTCCCCAATGAAGCGTTTTGTTTGCTGACGAACTCTTCAAAGCCCTTCAAAGCCCTCTCGACCAGGTCGCGCTTATGTCCACGTGATGAGGAAAGACGACATCATGGCTTTAAACGATACTGTTCGAACTGCAGTCTGGGAAGATGCTAAAGCTACTTTCACTAACCCATCGCTGATTGGACCTCCCTCGGTTGAATTTGCCATCTACAAGAAGGTTCCAGGTAACAAGAAGAGAACAGACGCGCGTCAAGGAACCATTGATCAGGACCCCGAGTTTATGGCCTTTTTGGAGGATCTCGCAAACCCTGCGCCGCCAAAAGAGAACGCCGAAGGCGAAGAAGGCGATGATATTGGAAAAGCAGAAACCAAGGTCACAACTACGCCACTTATCGAGTACTTAAAGGAGAAGAAGGCAAACAAGGCTAAAGACGGTGCCTCCTCTAAGAACGCCAAGCACGGACAGGGAGAATCTAAGAGCGGAAAGGGCAAGGGCTCCTCAAAGGACGACGATTCGGGCAAGAAGAAGGGCAAGGAGTCGAGAGAATCCAAGGCGGAAAAGACCCCCAAGGAGACAGTCAAGATCCTGACCAAGAAGGCCTCTACTGAACAGAGCGCGGAAACTTCCAAGGCCACGACTGCGAAGCCGACCAGCGATAGCGCCGCTCAGGAATCGGCGCCCAAGAGTCGGCGTGCAGGTATTTTGGCCGCTGCTAGGATTCTCCAGCGCGATCTTGGCCTCAGTCCTGGCAGTGCTCATAGGAAGGCACGTCAGGATGCGGCCAAGGCCGAGGCGGATGCAAAGACGACGACGAAGGAGGCCACACCTCCTGCGACTGCAAGCACCACTACCGAGAGACCGGCTTCACCCGTTAAATCTACAGAGACACCCCCTCCAGCTGTGAAGGGCCGAGGTGCCTCTGGAGCTGCCTCCAAATCTCAATCATCAGGTCGCAGGACCCGAGGCGGAAAGAACTCTGAGAAGAAGGAAAAGGAGACGGAAAAAGACAAGGACAATGAAAAGCCGAAGGGTAAGGACAAGGAGGGCGGGCCAAGCCAATCTCAGGCCACACCGAACCCACCTGTCGTCCTTCTCAAGAAGAAGACTACTGAAGTCGAGCCCCGACGACCAGCAACTCCAACGGGCACATCGCAGCCAGCACCTGCACAGGCGCAGGCTGCTGGGTCAAAGGCAAACAACGCATCTGGTGGTTCCAAGGGTGGTTCTAACAAGTCTGGAAACGCACAGAAGAAGCCCCCTACCGTTTCTGCAGACGCTACTCGTGGCTTTGTCAAGCACGCCAACCCCTCACAGGGTGTCACTGAAGCACTTCTCAAGCAATCGCTCGAAGTGTTTGGTACCATCACGTTTGTGGAGATCGATAAGCGCAAGGGCTTCGCTTATGTGGACTTTGCCGAGCACGAGGGTCTCGTAAAGGCAGTCACGTCAAGCCCCATTACCGTTGCGCAGGGTACGGTGCAGGTTCTGGAACGCAAGGACAAGAAGCCGGCGAACACGCCTGCAGCATCGGGAGCTTCCGGGCCGGCCCCGTCGGAGAAGTCGTCCGGCCGGGGCCGACGCGCACGAGGTGGAGGCAACAAGGTAAAGGATTCAGGAGCCAGCAAGGAGGGTGGCGGTAGCAGTGGTGCTACTGCTACCACGACAGCAACAAACGGCGGCGGCTGAGGCCAAGAGGAGTCTATATGAACCTTTCTCGAGCATCTCAGACAGATACTAGCGAGCAGCACGGCGAGGCGACGTCCGTCACGATCAGCGCCGCTAATCGTTGAGCTCACCGCCGACCACAGCCCGCGCTGTAGATCCAGCTCGTTCAGAGAAGATGGACAAAGTTGCAGACTGAGCAGTCATTGGCCTTTGTTGAGCGAGAAGACGGCAGCGGCTCGTATGCTGCGCCGTTTCCCAGACGAACCCGCCACTCATTGTAAGCATGATAGCTACGGGGATTCCGATGGAGGATCGATCTTCAACGACGGCAACTCCAAGCGGACCGCACCGGCACATATGCAGGCTGGTTTACTGGGGGTGTAGTAGCAGTAGTTAGAACACGCTAAGTAGGATCGAAGGAATCGAGCACAGGTATACAATGCTTTACATGACATGTTATCTTGGACTGTCGACTCATTACCATTGACAGCTCGGACAGCAACCATTATAGGGCCGCACATCTGACGACCATCCACAGTATTGACAGTAGTACCGTCCTCGTTCCGCTCCTCCTGCAAGACAGGCACAGGCGCACATGACAGCCAGACATGACACCACCAGCGAGATGAAGCCAAAGAGGAGGAATCCAATAAAGACGCCGGCGATGGCAAGGAACTTTACCAGAACCCCTGCCGCGAGGACATACATGCCTGGTCCTAGGAAATCGCTTGGCTCATGCTGCTTCTCTAGCCCAGCGTAACGCACGATTGCCCTTGGGCCTTCGTTCATGGCATATATTGCCAACACAGCCGATGCGAGCAAGAGTAATCCATCGAACAAGGTACCAAGGTATAACATCCACAGCCGCACCTTTGGTTGAAACCTATGATGTAGTGACGCCACGGCAACAACAAGTAGGCAAGCCGACGTCAACAGGGCGAGGACAGCCAGCGCAGCAGAAGCACGTGAAAAGGGGAGAAACTTTGTACGAGATGTATGTAGCCGAGGATTTACTGTCTTGGATGAGCCGTCGATAGAGGAGCTGCGGATGAAACTCGCCCATGAAGCAAGCGCTGAAGAGAGGGTCGTTTCGTTGGAGATGGAGGCACGAAGGGACGAGTCGACCATGGCGCCGAGGGAAAGGGTCGGCGGGAATGATTTATGACAATGGTTGTTATCGTCACATACGCCTGATAACTTGTTAGATTTACTTCTTGAAAAGATGGGGATGTTACTAACCTGACATGCCCCAGTACCAGACTCGAGGTAGGTGAGGGTTCTCCAGGGGCTTGGTAGATTTCTGAGATACCATCTCGATCGACTTTAGTAGTTCATCCTGCTGGAGCTTGTATAGATGGATCGTCTGCGTCGCGGGGGAGAGACAGCCAAGTACAGCGATGAAGTTGACAATCAGGCCGACTGTATCTAGTTAGTTCTCTGTGTACATACTCTTCACCTGAAATACTCACGAAACACTGCAAAGATGAGCCATGCTCTCCATCCCCTCGAGTTCTCCTCTATCCCCCACATCTGGGCGCAAGAAGCCCGCGAGATGCCCATATTGAAGTTGTGTTAATAAGAAGTGAGAGAAGAAGCTACCCAGACTCCCTCATGTGAGTATACCTCCTTCTATATATATCTATCCCCAAATCGCGCACCGCCGTTTCACACATAAAAGACCCCCAAGTCCCTGCAAGCCACCTCACGAACCCATCTCGTGCCGGCAGTCAGCCCCCCCTGCCCGAAGCCTTTCAGCTGGGCCGCTGAGATGTGACCCTGAAGAGGATCATTGGCCAAGACCTGTGACAGAGGTGTTTAGGGTGCAGACTGAAGAAGTCGATCATCATGTCACTCGCCTTTGATTAGCTGCTTCTTTTGAATAGCTTATTGAGCTAAATTCAGCCCTTGGGGGACGGCGGGTATTCTCCTTGCAATGTTAGAGTGTTTCTTGCATCTCAGTGTGGCTTGTCGGGTCAGCGTTTCACATATCACGAGGGCGCACTCCTGCATGTCAACCTCATTTGAGCTACAGCACATGACACAGACATATAAGCAGACATATAGAGACACAGTTATAAGTAACGACAATGTTGAATGAAAAATCTTTACGGCTGTGCTATCCTATCACTACTACTATCCTATCCTTTCCATTCCTATGCAAACATCGGGGAATCGTTTCTACTCGGGCTGTTGAACCCGAAACTTGTAGCAAACGTAAAAACAGCAAGTCTATCGAAACAAGATGAGTAAAAACAACATGATATCTTTGAAAAAACAACAAAAAAGGAAATCCTCGGGAGCTTTTCCGCTCCAACAACACTGTACTTTTTGGTATCCAAACCCCGTTGCGCCGTCCTATACCCTTCAAAACTGACCAAGAGTCACACACCATTCATGACAACGTACAACAACACAGCAACAATGAACCCAACCGCAATCGCTTCACCCTGGGCGAGAACCCTCTTCGCGTGCGCCTTCGCGTCTGTCCACCACAACCTCTCTCCCACGCCTCGACGAGCAGCCTTGAGTCCAGGAAGACCATCCATGCTCAGCACGTTGGTCTCGTTGTGGTACTCTTGAAGCGTATTGCTGTCGACTCTCTTCTTGAGCCAAGCATCCATAGTGGGCCGCTCTTCAAACACGGCCAGTTCGTCCACTTTGCCGTCGACACCCTCTGGAAGCACCTGCTCTACAGGTTGCTCAGATGCCGAGTCGCGATCGTAGATGGCCCTCTTGACACGGGGCACACCAAAGCCGCAGCTCGTCTGAACTTCAAACACGTCCGCCACAATTACGGCCCTGGCGCCGTCGAATGCTGACCGCTTCCCTTGGGAGATGCGGCGGACGAGATCGGTAAATGCCGGCTCATCCCATTCGACAACTCTGGACCTGCAAAAGAATCTCAGAATCCGAGGGGCCGCGCCGAAACTCATAAACATCAAGCAGAGCCGACCATTGTCATATGAGTGAGCAATCGTCTCGCACCCGGAGCCGGTACGATCGATGTATGCACACTGGTTCGGTCCCAAGATGGCAAAGTGAGAGTCGGCCAGGCCCTTGGGCGAGACATTGATGTGAGAGCCAAGGGTTGGCGCCGAGCCGGTGAAGAAGACGGGTTGCCGCTGCACCCACTCGGCGAGCTCCTCGGTGATGGACGGATAAAGCTTCATGGCGAGTATGTAAAAACGTATAATGTGAAAAGCAGGTACCTCAGGTAGTGAGGTCTGTTATGTAACCACAGAGCCAAAGCAAGAAAATTGCTGGAGTGCGGATGGATGTCCAGTTGTTTGAAACAGAGACAAATTTGTGTGCGGTAGAAAATGTCGACCGACGTCGGTGATGGATTGATATGCATGCATTCCGCGCCGTGCGGGGAACGGAATGGCGTCAAGGCGGTGGACTCGGTCCGTATGCCCGCCTGCCCCATTGAGTATTAGAGTCAGTTTCTGGAATCAGAATCCGCTTGTCGGTGACGATTGGGAGAGAAGCATGGTGGGCCCTACTAAGCCCAACTTGCTAGGATGGTCCTCACCCCTTGGATGTATGTCTCATGGGGTGTGTCCAAGGTAATCTTGTTTGTGGGCAAGCTCCTGATGGAGTCTTGCTCCGACTTGCGACACGGGAAGGTTGGTAATTTCCTGGGTGGCCGTCACTGGCATTCGGCCAGGACCGCCTACCTCCCTTCGAGATGCAGGTCGATCAGAGAATAGGGTGAATGAGGTTAGTTCGGGATGGGATACGCGTGGTATGAGCCATCCTCGTAACGCTCGTCATCGTAGGTGCTGCTGTCACTGCTAAAGTGACCATTGACGATGCTGGAAGTGCGAGGCACGTTGTAAGTAGCTTGGCTAGAGACGACGCTGGCAGCCTTGCGTCCTGTTGTCATTTGACCGTAAGCGTCAAGGTTATTGGAAGGGGTGTCATAGTGAGACCAACCTCCGGGTCCCCAAGGCTCGATGAAGCTGGTCTGGCGAGGTCCTGAAGCAGGACGCTCATCAAACCGCTTCGACAAGCGCTCCTTGTCCGCCTTGATATCGGGCCGGCTGTCCTTGTCCTTGGGCTTGTCGCTCCGTCGGCCCCGATCCTCACGGCGCTCTTCGCGGGTGCGCTCATCTCGGTGACGATGCTCGCGTGGACGCTCCTCACGGGAGCTCTCTTCGCGCTCAGACTGGTGTCGCTCCTCCCGCTCACGGTGACGCTCCTCTCTGGCCTCGCGGGTCTCGCGCTTGCTACCAGTCTTACTGCTGGGCTTGCTAGAGGCCTTGCTCGAGGCCTTGCTGGAAGGCCGAGACGGCTTGCGAGTAGCCTCGGGGAGAGCAGCAGGGAGAGGGCTCGGCATTGGGCTCGACATGGGGCTCGTCATGGTAGAGGTGGGCGTCTGGTTGTTATTAAGAGCGTTGAAACGCATGGTCAGGTTCTCATGCTTGGCAGTGAGGCCAATGAAGCGCTGCTCGAGGTCATGGTGCTCAAACTTGACACGCTCGTTCTCTTCCTTGAGGGTCTCCTTCTCCTCCTTGAGCTCCTCGCACTCGCTGTTGAGGCGGCGCTTATCCTCCTTGAGCTCCTCAAAGTCAGTGTTGAGACGGCGGTTGTCCTCCTTGAGGACCTCGGCCTCAGAGCGGGCGCCCTCGAGCTGGGCCTTGACCTCGCGGTAAGAGACGTTGGATTCAGTAGCCTTGCGGTTAGCCTGCTCGAGAGAGGTCTTGGCCTCGTTCAGCTTGCGGGTGAGTGTCTCGATGGTGTTCTTGAGCTTGTCATTTTCGGCGTTGGCCTTGTTCAGGTCGGTGTTGGCCTTTTGAAGATCGTCGCGCAAATCCGACTCGTAGTCATATTCGTATGAGTAGTCGTAATCGTGAACTGTATTTCGGCGGTCAGTGTGTGAAAGCGGGAAGAGCCGGGCGTTGTTGTGCGCACCAGTCAAGGCCTTGGAAGAAACGGTGGAGGAGGCCGAGGAAGAGCTCCTCTTGACCGGGCTAGCAGATGTCCTCTGATGCAGCGGCATTGCGTCGGATCGGGGCAGTTCACGATCGCCCACACGACTAGAGGAAGTAGAGGAGATGGGAACGGAAAAAGTAACCGAAGCCGTCTTGAAGGTATTTTCTGGGGTGATTTGGGAATATCCTGTTCGCTGCGATGCAGCGCTGCCCAACGACGACTAGGTCTGGCAGGCGGTATAAGAGCGCGGGCGAGCGAATTGGCGGAGAAGCGCTGTAACGGTAGGTAGGGCCGTGGGAGGGGCGGGAGCGGGAGCGCGAGGGGCCACAAAGGCAAAAAGCTGGGTAGAGTGACGTCTTGGTATGGACGACTTGACAGGTTAACTCGAGTTAGTTTGTTACTGAAGATGGTAGTAACAAGAGAATTTTCCAACACGGAATGAGGAAAAAGGTCGAGAATAAAAACCTGTGGGCGATAGAAAAAGGGAAATGAGCTCGGGTGCAGGCAGGGGAAAAAGGGAAGAAAAAAAAGTGTTCGGGTTGATATGGATTTTTATCAAACTCGGGTGTGGGAGGAAAAAATAAAAATAAAATAAAAAAAGCCTGGCCTGGTTGGAATGGGGGGTGGAGGGGGGCGGAAGATGAAGGGAATGCAAAGGGCAAGGCAAAGCAAGGCAGGGAAGGTGCAACTGGAAATGACTGTTGTTCCTTCTATTACTCTAGTATGTACGCACACACCTTACTATTCTAACAACACGGACCAAAGACTGCCTTGTGCTTATTCCTTGCTTTCTCATCTATTCCATTTCTATCGATGTCTACATTCACGCTCTTGTCCTCTGTTACTCCCAGGGCCGACGGCACGGGTCACGACAAAAGGCGGGAGGGGAGTCATCGGTAAGTGGTTTGCTAATGCTAATAGGATAGGTTAGCACCTAGCTACCTACCTAACTACCTACCCACATACAGACTCGGTACATCACGGCGCGCAAAGGCGGAGAGGCGGAGAGGAAGAGGCAGCTACCGGTAGCATTCTAGTGGCACCCTCAGATTCTCAGCGGTCTAGTCGGCCCCTCGATGGGCTGGACCCGAGGGAGTGGGCATTTTGTCTCTCTTTTTCTTCCACCGCCAGCTGCAGGTTGGGTCCTCCCCTGCCTGTCTGGACTGAAGGAGACTCCTCCTCTTCCCAACAAAGAATGGAACGGAGTAGAGGAGGGGTGAGGGAGTGGGAGGTGAGGCACATCTTGTCGTGATTGGGAGGCTCACAAGACACGGGAAATGGAAACTGGGCCGCACGCACACACTCTCACTCGCATTTGCGCTCTCAGCAACCTCTCGACACACAATACCGCCGCTGCGGCCTGCGCAATGTCCAGAAAGGCGCCGTTGTGACGCCAACATCAGCACCAGAATCAGTGCCCAAGGGGCACTTGGCAAGAGCCCAATGCCCACTTCGCCCACACCTCTACCCTACCCGTACCCTTGCCAAACCGGGGTCCGCTTCCCAACCCTCATGCTTCTCCGCCGGCTCTCCTGGTCCTCAGTGCCTTTTGCATACCATCAAAAGCCCTCGGCCTTTTCCCTGGTTCCTGGATCCCCCGGAGCCGGCGCAAAGGGGCCTTGATTGGCTATGCCGGGGCTGTGCAACACCGTAACCACCAAGCAGAAGAAAGGAAGGGCAGAGCAAAAGCAATGCGGGAGGGGAGTGGCACTACTGCTGCCATCACCACTTGCACAATCACCACCACCAGCATCCTGGTGCCAGACACACTCTTTGACTGACAGGGGTGGCAGGAAGCAGGCCGTTTGGCCCCCCGTCTTTCATCACGATATCGATGGCCAGTTTACCCGGCAACGCACCCTCCATCATCAGAGAATCAGAGGCACATCCGCATTGATCTGGTCCGCAACCGGTTCGCATGCTTGAGAGGTTAAAATGCGAGGGCAAGATGCTGATCATTCAATGAGGGCCGACTCGGCTCCACGCCTCCTCGTGGCTCAAGTCCCGTAACCGTCACCGCCAGCTTACAACCCTGCGCCGCATCTTGCGCCGGCGCCGCAAAAAGGCACCCAGAGTCTTGGACGAGAGATCCGAGTGACTCATAGGCTGACAAAAGAAGGGTTCAACTCGAACACGGGCTTGTCTCGTGGTGGCCGTTGGCTGTGTCTGATCGGTTGCGCCTCATTCCTTGTCGTCAATGCGAGCCGTTCGGCACATGGGAGCTTCTCTGATTTCACAGACGCCAGAAGCAGAAGCAACCAACTTCAACTCCCGTGGTGGGCGACTAGGGCCACATTCGCGCAGAGACGAGTCGTAGTGCCTGACCCCCCTTGTTCGTCTACGGTTGCCTTTTGACCCCTCCTCTGCTCGTCTTTCTTGCATCCGGGAGTGGCCGAGAAGCAGCGAGATATTGTTGGCCAGCTATGACGAAAGCTGCAGGAGCTTGAGAGCACATGCGCATCACGAAGCAGAGCCAAAATGGTACTGCAATTTTGGTAATCTGGACAAGATCGCGGGGGGGCACGTACTGCCCAAGCTAGGTAGGGCCTCAATGACGGTGGAGAGGCGGAAGGTTGACAGGAAGTCCCGTCGGGTCTAACATGCCTAGGTCCCTAGGTACCCTAGCGACTCGAGAAGCCGCCCGCCGCCGGTCGCCGGTCGCTTGGGACCGGGGCCGGGGGAGCTTCCGCCCGGGGGGGCCTCCCGCATCTGGGGCCTCACAACCTAAGTTAAACGCTTGGACTTGCCGCCTGTCAAAACAAAATTGGGGCACATCAGAATTTTCTGACACGGCGGGAATGGGTGGGAATGGAGCTGAATTGGATGGTTTTGGATTGCGTGTGGGTGTTTCGGTATCCGCCCCCTTTGTCCTGGTGGCCTCGGGGCCTGGCTGGGTGCTCCCTGACTGGCTGGGCACTGCTGGGCTGAATCGGCCCTGGCTGGACAAGGAGGCCTCGACTGGAATGGATTATTGATTGATTGATTGAGATGAGATGAGTGAGTGTCCCTTGGTCCGCCGTCATGGCTCTCCCTGCATTCCCGCTCCCGCTGCCAAGCTTGCCCCGTCACCACGTTTCCAGCCCTAGGTCAGTTTGTTGCCTGCGTCAGTCCCTTTCACGGAGTGACCTGGCGGATGTAGTCATTTTGGAGTAATTTTCGAGTATTCCTGTTTGTGGCCCCCCGGACCCGGCCTACCGAGCGACCTCACCGATGGAAGCCAGCGCACGGCAAGTTTCCAGCCCCTACCCAGTGGATGGGGCATCCCGTCCCCCCTCAACGGTCGCTAAACGCCATCGGGAAGCGCCCCCCCCTCGGTGAACAGCCTTCGATGGCATTTCCCAACTGGGCAAGTAATTTAGACTTGATCCATGACACGGCCACCTCAAACCTCATCCCAGGCTTTATCCGTTTCGCTAAGCCACGGATCTACCCGCTGGCGATTTCGATTTCCATCCACGGGAAGCGTATCTATCGTGCACACGTTTACTGCCAGCTCATTCTGGAACTGGCTCTTTTCAAAATAGAAACGGTTTGTCACTGCGTGACTGGTCTCGACGAGCGGATTGGGTCAAGGCCAAGCTGTCCATGAGTCAAAGTGGACAAAAAATAGGACTTTGTTGGTGTCGTTTACATGGTCATGCGAATAGTCCTTTGGCAGGGTCTACAACCTCTTGGTGATGGTCATATGCCCCCTCGAGATTCCCACTCTCTACACCCTCTCCTTCGGCCTTGCACACACCACTAACAGATTATCTATCCCGTCTTTCTGGCACCCACTCAGGATATCGCCCATGAAACCTCGAGTGCCGCCATCCACCATGATGTCGGGTGTTTCACATTGCCCACCCACCACTATCCAACATCCACGATTATCATGATGATCCGTTTTCAGGCCAGCACTCTCACCGTAAACCTGTCCTCGTATTCTCAAACCCGTTCTCCCCCTCTAGTTCCATACATCTCTGTGCAACAAACATGGGAGTGAGTTATCGTCCATCCATCCTCTTTGTCGTCACCACCTTCAGCCTGGTTCCAAGTCGTCATGGCCCCCAAAAACCATACCCTTGGCGACCATGTCAGGCGACCAATCCCCATCACCCACAAAGTCCCTCTTCTGCCTGAAATAGGACTTTTTTCTACTTCATCTGCTGCAAGATGGGTGGCTGCCTTTTTTCTACTTTTTTTTTTCTACGGCATTCCCCCTCTATCGATCACTCGTGAAACACCCCTTCACACACCCTCTCTGGTTGCCTCGTCACCCCCCTTTCGCGTCGTCGTCTTCGTCCCCGCTGAGTATTGTACAGATGCGCGATACCACGGGACATCGCGTTGCATCGCGCGCGCAATGCCTCCGCCCCCTCCCTCCACTTTGAGCAGGCAGAATTTCAAATTTGATGGCTCATCTTGGATGACAAAGCCCGTTATACTCATCAGCCGTGACAAAGCATGGTGGAATTTGTCGTTGTTGTTATTGTGATTGTGAATTTGTACTGCATCTTCGTGGTCCCACTTCACGTCATGGCCATGCTGAGATACCTTGCAGCAGGGTGCCAAGTGGACTGACTGATGAGGGGTATAGAGCCGACGGGATGGTTTGTTTCTTTTTGTCACATAGACCTGTAGGGGGGTAGAGTGTGTGCCTCAGACCTCGGTGTTTCGAGACATTGTGCTATTGACTGCTACCCTAAACCATCACGACTTCGATACCAGATGACCTTTAGCTTTGCAAGAACAAAGAAACTATCACGCGGGAATAAAGTGGATAGACATTGCAAGTTCACCAACGGCATTAATTGCTTTGAGACACTTTCGTGGGGTTGTATAAGGTGATTTGAATAAATGTGGGAGGACAACCCTCCTTATCCTAGCCGGTATAAGTTCCTTGTTTCCGAACACATCCTATCCAACATGCCGTGTCGTCATCTACACATTGGTCATAGCGCGTAAACGTAAAGTAAAGAAGAGAAGAATAAGAAGAAAGATATCATAGGTGGTGAATGTTGATCCAGTCTGAATGAGATCTCAAGTCCCAGCCCGGTACATAAAGGGGTATTTCCAACTATAAGCACAACTTGTTAGAACTAGCCATGAATACAAGCATAGACGATGCTTCTCACCTCAAAATAAAGACATAGCATGTCCAACAGATAAAAATAAAGACGGCATAAAGACATGGTGCAAGATATCATCAATCCCAACAAAGCCAGTCATGATTCAAACTGCCTGGCCACTCCAACGCGGCCGCTGTCCCGTAGATATCCAGAAATGCCGGTGAAAAGGGGAGGAGAAAGAGAAAAGAGAGGGGATCCATCAAATTAGCAGACACGTCGACGCTTTAGGATATCCTCGTAGACCTCAATCTTCTCCGTCTTGGACTCGACAACAGTAATGAGACCAATATGGCGCTCCCGTAGCTCCTCGTAAGTCTTCTTCCAGAAGCCAGACTGGTTGGTCCAGTACTCGATCTGCTTTGTCAAGTCGGCAACACGGCGGCTGAGGCTCTGGTCGATCTGCTTGGACAGCTGGCACACACGGTAGCGGAGGTCACCGTTCTCGTCCTTCAGCGTCTTGTTCTCCTTTTCCAGACGGCAGACCTTGGCCCGCAGAGCATCCATCTCGCGATGGCTCCGGGATGTAGAATCGCAGGAGTTATCGATGGATCGACGGAGGCACTCATTCTCGGCCGTGAGGTGCTCGACTTGGTCCCTGAGCTGAGGGATAACGACATGACACAGACGATGAGTCTCGGCCTCTGCGTTATGGAGCCTCACCCTCAGAGTCTCATTCTGAGCAGCAAAGTCCTGGTTGGCCTCTTCAAGCTGCTGGTTCTGCTTGACAAGAGTCTTCCACTCTTCACGGCTGACCTTGTAGTAGTCGCAGGAGTGACGGTGGTGATGGTAAGATCGGGATCGTTTGACAGTGACGAACTGAGGCCGCCCCTCAGGGCTGGTCTCAACGTAGAAGCGTCGAGATGTCATTTCGGTCATAGGTTGCGTCTCGGGAGTTTCTCTGACTGATGTCTGATTGTGAAGCTTGAGTGACCTGAGGTTGTAGAGTGGTACCGGTTTCTGATGATCAATCACAGTCGGAGTTCCAGAGAGCTGGGTAGACGATGGAAGATATAAAGACAGTCTATCTCTGAGACAACACGAGAGATATCTAGGACTCGGGGCTAAGGAGGATCAAGCAGTGTCTGCCTTTAGAGTAGAGCGGTCGTGAAGCAAATGAATGACCCTGATGATTGTCTCGGAAGGGGTCCACCAAGGAGAGAATGACAGCTGAAAGGGACACTGGGCTAATGCAGGTGATCAAAGAAGGTCAGAAGTGTTGTTTATATAGAACAAGGGGAAACGGGCTGCTGCAGGTCAGAGCAGAAGCTCTCCTTTTATAAACACCAGCCTCTGTATCAGGCACTTGCTCTGACTCTGTCACCGGTGTAGAGAATGACACATAAACCACGCGGCAGTCAAACATGGATTGAAAATTGGAATAAAAACGACCTCAAGGCCATGCTATCGTGGCTTGTAGGGGGCGGCTGATGAGTAGGAGTCTAACAAGTGTAAATGTTCCTGACGGTTCCGTCTCTGCCTTTGCTCTAGGACTTGAGCACAAGTGTGGCAGACTTGACAAGAAAAGCAAGCAAACAACTGTGGCAGAGCAAACCAGCACTTTTTGGTTTAAATGGGGGAACTTTGGGAATTTAGTCGGTTGGATGAGGCGCGCGTGGTCCATGTCTCAATGGTGATGGTGGTCATTCCCGGCGCAGACAAAGACAAAGAAAAGAGTGGCTGACAGGGAGAGTTTGAGCAGCTATGACAAGATGGATTATTACTTGGAAAGCATCCATAAAACAGAGTGTGGGCTTGAAGGCTTGCATGAAGTCTTTGATGCCGTTGTAAGAGGCGCTTGCCTCGGGTATCCAGGGGCATTGATGATTTTGACTTGCATGGACCGAGCGGCGTCAAAGAAGCGGCTAACGAAAGGGCACCAAAGAGAAGAGAGAAACGGAGATAACAGCAGTAGCAAGATCCATTAGCTTATTGTGTCGTGCATGCGTTTTGGCGGGAGATGAGAGTGACGTGCAGGAGTTCGTCCACGAGGGCCTGGCGAGCGGGAGATGGACATGGTGACCTGCAAGGGCATACAGTGTGGATAGAGCCTAATTAAGGAGCGACTCAACTTTGCATGCAATTTAGCGGGGGGCGCAAGTATATTACAGTGTGAATATGTAAAACACACAGCCCCGCTACCCCATGACATGTACGCCTTGTGAGGCCTCATCGTCCATCCACCTTCTACTCCTCCACACCATCAAAGGCCCCAAACCAAACAAAAGAGGAATCGTCACCACGGGACCCCTTGCAGCAGCATCGACCCGAGATGCACCGCCCGATCACTCGGTTCCAGGCCATGCAACATGCGACGCAAGGGCAGTGCATTACTAGAGCAGGGCTATCTTTGAGCCTCTGGTTTCGTACAAGTCTTTTCTTTGTCTACGCATCAGGTTGTGGTTGAGATGGATTCTTGCTCTTATCCATTTCGTATTATTCTTCCATGTTTCGTTTAAATCGATGGAAATATCATCTCGAGAAATAAGCATTTCAACATTCATGGGAACCAACCACTTCAACCCTGCGCCACCAAGCTGAACCTGAAGATGCCCACCATCTCACAACCCTCAACCAACAAATATATTCTTCTCTTAGCCGTAACTCCTGACATTCCCGGCCCCCAAACATCCCACAACTGGTGACGAACCAGCGTGGCTTATTCCCCAGGCTGCAGCGAGGCACTCTGACAACCTGCCTCATAACTTGTTACACTTTCAGAGCCTTCTCGTCACATCGCCATACCCCACGAGGCCCACGGGTCCTGATACCTTCTCTCAGCCCAGCCGAGATGTCTCTGGGGGTGACGATACCCAGCCTCGCCATGTCGAGGAACAGGCTCTCCCAGCTCATCTTCTGCTTCGCCTATTTGCTGCCTAACGCCGACTATCCGATTCCTCCCGTGGTTCAAGCACCAGCCTGATCCCGTCGCAGCCTGGTTGTTGCAGCTAACTTGTCTACAGCCGTGTCCGTCGCAAAAGAGTCCGTCAGCATTGCCCTGGGCAAGTCCGTGGATTGAAGTTTGCCTGGGTCGGTGACATTCTGGCACAAGACACTTGTGACTAATGCAGAATTCGAACGGAGGAGCCTTTGGGTCTTGACAGTCACGGACCTGGCAAAGATGGTGTTCACAGAATCGTGTGCCTCGTTCTGCTCGTCGACCACAGCCTCGTCTATCGTTGTTGCCTGGACACACCCCGTACAGGTCTGTTTCTTTTCAGAGTTGCACTGAGAGAATCTAGGAAAGGGGGGCTTACGGTCTTCACATACGATGTGTGTTGTCCCTTGAAAAGAAAACCTCCTACTCTCACAACCCGCCTCGGAACATTGTTGGTGTCCTTCACAATACCGACCCTCCATCGCTTCAGCTTCACAGCCGCCATATACGCACTCGTGATACGGGCAGTAGTCCTTGCCAAGCCTTCTAAGCCGACAATTGCGCGTCTTACACGTGTGCTTTTTGCAGTAACCACTCCCCGGAGACTCCTGGCCTTCGAGGCAGCCTTGCTCAGCACATGCGTGGTCGCGGCAGTGGGATCCCCCCTCACGTTCGGCTTCGCAGTCGGGTGCCTCGCAGTAGTGTGCGCCACAAAAGGGTGAGGGTTGGCCGTTATCGCGGACGTGGCAGAGACGTCGGCATTGTGGTTTTTGGCAGTGACGATGTCGCTCACAGAAGCGTTGAGGGTCTTCTGGATCAACTCCTTGAGCAAAGGCTATGCAATGAGTGTCATCGCATGTATGATCCTTGCAAAACGGACCGGTATCTTTGTGGTTTCGACAGTCGTCGTATTCGCAGCGATGTTCGTGGCAAAACGCCAGATCTTGACCGTTATGCCACGTCCGTTGAGCCTCGCAGCCGGGTAGTGTACACAGGTCTATTTCCTTGTCAACTGCTGAAGTCAAGTCCTATTGTAGGCCAGGGATATCTTACGAAGCGGCATACAGTACCTGTACAAGGCCGAGTTTCCATCCTTGACGTCGAGATTGCATCTCGTGCCGTTGTCAACAGCCTGGCACCGAATATCTTGGTCTCTTTGTTAGCAACCCTCTCGAGTTGTAGCCATAGACTCACGCTGGCTGCACACTACAGCTCGAGGCAGCTTTGCATTGGGACACGCCCGCCCTCCTTCAACTTGCCTGCAAGCGTGAAATTGGCAATACTGCGATGTAATTCTTTGACCATTGAGTTTCAGCGCTGTAGGCGGGTTGCGACAAACGGTTCCGGCTGCTGCGCATGTAACTTCGTAGCCAATTCCTTGGCTGGGGTATACTCTCTGGAACATGTTGAACCTTTGGTGGTTTTGGAGCGTTGATATGAGAAAATGTGAGACTACGTCTTAATTACCACTCGTATAATTGATAATGGTCTCGCTATCTCCCTTATATCACTCCGTGCCAATACACTGATACATGACACATGATTCTCTTGCTGTATATCTACGGATGGCACGTCTCACAAGCTTCATGGTTCAGGCTAGGTACATGCCACGGATAGTTGACGTGGTGTCTTGGCTCGCTGCACCACATATGGCACACGGCATCCATGATAACTTCCTGATTGGAATTTGTCATATCTTTGTCGAGTCTCATGACCACGTCGTTGCCGTTGGGCACAAATATATATTAAGGCTACCCAAGAGTTTTCAACCCCCTGGTTTGAACCACCCTCGTTCACATCGTACTACGATAACTCAGAATCGCTTTCACTGTTACATAGGAGTCACGAGCACAAGCCAGGTACCGAATTGTAATACTTTTGATTTGATAGTCTATCGCAACTATTCTCGCTCCCCTCCTACCCATCAATCGTGCTCCTAAGTCGTGGTATCATTGCAAGCAAAGACTGGTTCATTTCACCCCTTTTTGTTAAAATTCCGCCGTCGAGGCTTTTTCATCTATAGCTGGGCCCCCCTCCCTATTCAAATCAGGTCGATGCCTGGAACTTTGGGGGAAACAAAATTGGGTAGCCGAGTGCACTTTTATCCATGGTGCTTTTGTTATAGCAAATGCGAAACCGAAAAGAAAAAATGTTCAAAAAGAAACAATAAGATGAGGCGTGGATGAGCTCAGAGTGGTAGAAAAACTCTTCATGGCTTGGCATCAGCCGTTGTTACCTAGTTGGACTGCAGGCGTCCTTGTGCGACGTTGCATCACAGCGACTCTGCCACCGCCGCCTGGAGGCCCTGAAGTAGCGCCGCCTCTGCAGCGTTGTCGTGCATATCGTGTTGAGGCTCAGGGGCAGGCACATGGGGCATTTGCATGGTGTGAACGGGCGCCGTGGGTGGAGGCGACGGGAATGTGAGCTGCGAGTGTTGAGGGGGAGAGTATTGAGGCTGAGCGGGCTGCGCGGGTGCGGGCTGAGGAGTCGGGGTGTGGTGAGCCGGTGGCGAGTGATGCATCTGCCCGACAGGAGTCGACGTGTGGGATCGAGCCTGAGCGGGAGAGTGCATGGCGCTCTGGGGTTGTTGCGGTAGGTGTTGTTGTTGGGCTCGAGGAGTGTGAGGTGCCTGTGGCCGGGCAGGCTGCTGAGGTGTAGACTGATGAGACTGTTGTGTAGCAGTAATCATGCTCGGTCTGGCTTGTGGTAGCGAGGAGGGTGGATATCCCGAGGAGGTGGCAGAGTAAGAGTGAGTAGGTGTTTGATGTTGGGCAGGCAAGCCGTGTTGCGTCGACGCGGCCTGTGCTGCACTCGCCGCTTGAGCGGGTGTCATGACAGCCTGACCAACTGCTGAGGCTGGTGTTCCCGCTGCCCGTCCTTGTGGAGGGTTCTGCAGTCCCCCGGCCAGTGTCATTATGCCTTGTATCCTGGCCTGATCCTCCTCCGAGTTCAACCTTGCGCGTTCCTCCGCCTCCTTCCTGGCTGCCTGTGTAGGAGCGCGAGTCTTGAGTTCGCCAGTTACGGCCTGTAGATAGTACGGCATCTCTGAGTTGGTCTTGAGGAAGAACAGCTTGAGGTTACGAGCCTTGTCCTTGAGTTGCACCTGTGTCCGATCTTTGAGTATATCGGATATGGTGCCGTTCTGTCCAAACAGAGTGAGTATTTGACTCCAGTGAGGACCCTTGACCATGTCAAGACCAGCCATGAGTGCCTTTTCTTCTTCTTGAGTCCAAGGGCGGCGTGTCGAATGAAGACCCTCTCTCCTAGTGTGGGCGGATGACTTTGAGATTGCCGCCTGTCTCGCCTTGTCATACAAGACAGCACTCGGGCAGGTTTGATTGGGCGGCAAGTTTTGACCAGGCTCCGGGGGAGGAGGAGGAGGCTCGGGTATGCTGTGTGTGTATGAGTAGTAAGGATGCTGAGCATGTGACTGCTGGAGTTGGCTGAGATACGATTGCGCTACCAGATTGTTGGCCATTGTTCGTGGATAAAGTTTGAGATCCAGGTTGGTTTCAGACTTACTTGTACTTGTAGGTACGGTTGGCTGATATGGGACTGGAGATAGCCCGTGTAATGTGGTCTTGACGTAATTCGAAGTGCTTTCAGCCACAAGAGCCTCCAACTCCTTATAGTCCGTCATAAAGTCCACCTTGCCATTTGTCTGAGGCGTTGAAGAAGGCTCTACCTTCTCGGGGCTCTTTGTGGGTTCGGCTGTAGCCGGTTGTTCAACTGTTTCAGCTGCAGGTGTTGGTGTTGGCTCCGGATTGGTCTCGGTCAAACCAGCCAGAGCGTCCTGGACAAGACCCGAGGTGGTCTTCTCAAAAAAGGAAGATAGATCATCCAAGTCGAGATCGGGATCGTCATTTCCGGCGGCGTCACCCAATAGGTCAACCGCAGTCTCCTCACTGGATGGCATGGGATGGCCCAGTCTTGAACCGAGATCCGACATCAATGCCAGTCGAGTCTTGACACAAGTAGCAACTTGAGCCAGCAAGTCATCCACTTTGTACTTTTCCCTTAGAGATGCTGTTTTCGTCAGCGAGAGCTCTCATGATGCGGCGCCGGCAAAACACTCACCAGTGTCGGGTTGCGCCTCGCCCTGAATCGCGTTTTTCATCGACCGTACAGATGAGATGAACTCTCGATCTGCTGGTGTCAGATCCGAATTGTGATGAAGCCCACGTAGCTTATCCTCCATCCCGCTTATTATGGCGTCATCTAGTATCGGCCCAGACTGCTGTTCTGGAGTTTTCGTAGCAAGCGCGTCGATCGCAACTTGAGTCTTGATGGACAGGTACAGATCGAGTGCATCAGAACCAAGGTCTGAGACTTGCCCTCGAAATATAGAGTGAAAGTTCTGATGAGCGTTGGAATACGATGGTGTGGTCTGGAGTAGCCAAATGGCGAATTGGGCGAGATTCGCAAGATCGAGGATGGTGCGGGATTCATGGTCTTGGAGCTCTAGCTCATCAGCCGATAGGATGGCGCTCGTAGAGTAGATCTGCTTGGTTTGTTCAAACGAGGTCTGCAGATTCCGGAAAGCCTTGGCGTGTTGCGATTCCACATCTCGGATCGGCTTTATTGAGTCGTCGAAGGATTGCGAGAACAAGAGGAGGATAGAAAGAGCCTATGCCAGTCGTGTAAGCACTCGGTCGCGGTACGTAGTCGCGCCAACCTACCATGTTGCCGAGCGCATGTCGACTGGCCTTGCGCAGGTATTTTTGAGGGTCAGAGAGGAAGGTTACGGGGGGTGGAGGGAGAGAAGCTTCGGGGATGGGTGCGGGATCAACATCCATCGGATCATTTGTCGTCGGAGCCATGTTTGCATCCTGAGTGAACTGGGACACCAGATCGCCAACATTGTTGAGCGCATTCTGAACTAGAAGCGCAAGCCCATCTTCTAGCGATTCTTCGGCGCCTGGGTCTGGCTCGAACGCGTTATCGTGGACAGGCTCGGTCTCGGTCTTGACCCTCTTGGAGGACTCGTCGCCATTGGTGTTTCCATCGAAGGGACGCTTGGTCGCGGCTTGCAGCATCGAGTCCAGATCGAGGCCGTCGAGGATGTTTGTCTCTTGCTTGATGCCTACGGGCACGGCAGTCAGCATGGCTACGCAGCAGACCGGCGCGAGCTCGCAAGAGTTCTTCAGGTGGCGGGGGATCAAGCGGGACATTGGAAGCATGGATTTCTACGCACCCGTCGGGGACATGGCCGCGCTGAGATCGGGCTGGGCGGGCTCAGCCATCATGGTGACTTTATCGGTACATAAGCAACAGGCGCAATTAGAGGAATTTCTCGTCTGAGGAGCTCAGAGGGCAGCGCGGCAGCTGGCGACGGCTTCGTTCTGGCGTAGAGGCGGCGGGATGATGGTTGTCCGGAGAAAATTTGCTGAGTAAGTCCGATCGGTGCCCTTATTTCTGGCCCCAGAGCTCAGGTGAGGAGCGATACACAAACGGCACAGGATGGAAGGGAAATTTATATTCCGCTGCAAAATTCAAAATTCTGGCCGTTTGAAGGCTCTAAGTTCTGGCTGGGGATCAATAGACAATATTATTAACTGATTAACCGTTTTAAACACTCCTTGTTGGTATTTGCGACGACAGTAAACAATTTGCTTGCACTCGTTGATGCTTCTGATAAGCGACTATCGGCAAATACAAGCACCGATTGACCGAGATAGACTTATCAAGAAGGCACCCAGGGTGTTCAATCTTACCCAGTAGCCTCAACAACGATAACACCACTGCTGTGTGACCTGCCCCTCCGATGACATCAATTCATAATCCACTGGTGCTCATAAGAACGCCTGGCCAAGGAATAGCCTAATTTATTTGCTTGTTCGTTGGTAAGAGCTTCTTACGAGCCACAAATGCAAGGCTTGTGATTGGCTGCGCATGTACGCCCTCAAGTTGCGACTTGAACATCATCTTCGAGGTCACATTAATCACTCCTCAAAACTTGGTGAAATCTTGTAATTAAAGCATTTTGAAAATATCGAGATGAATTCTGCTGTCTACCGGCATTATTTGGCGTATTCATCAACAAGTCCTATCTGTTCTTAATCAGCCATGACACACTCAGCTGCGTCTTACTGACCTATCAAGTTAGGTGTTTGTTTTGTTTGTTTCAAGAGAAACAATGTTTATCTGTCTCTAAACTAGCCATGAGCTTATGATGCTGTTTATAAAACATCAATCCTTTGGAGTCTCAAGCATGCTCTCAGCCCGAGTGGGTCGTCCATGCCGTCAGAGTCCTAATACCGAAACGATGATGATGATGGTAGAGGCCATATTCAGTCTACGGTACCTATGGTACAACTGGGCATTGCGCTTCTGGTACTTAGCTGAGGTATCTTATCCTTTACTGTACTTTGGGACTTGTATTCTTAGGTAGGCAATATGCTCCCCGTGATAATTATCTTTTGCTCCATAGTGACAACCCTAGCAATAAAGAAGCGGCAGATGAAGGAGAAGTGGCGGACGCCATTATGCTGACTCGAGATGAGAACGAAAGTTAATTGACTGACATCATTGATCAAATCCCACTTGCCAATTCTGCTGGCCTACACCCCTTACTCGTCATGAAACAAGACCCCTATGTGGCTCCTTAAAACGGTTGTGCTAGACTCGGTCGACTCTGTGGCGTCGTTGATGGGCATCTCCCACAATGCATGGCTCAAGCCACGGCGATCTTAAGCTTATTTCTCATCAATGGGATGGGTTTTCCATCAATGTTGTAAACCTGTTCTGAAGATCTGGGGGCTAACCCAAGAGCCCGACCCAGCTTCAGACATCATCACTGTCGTGTTTCTACTGTGTCACTTATCCCTGGCCAAGGCTTCTTGAGCGCCATAGATGCGTGAGATGTCTAAATTGGAGGCGGATCTGGAAGTGCGCCGTTGGCAGTTGACACCTAGATGGCTGGCTTCAAGTTTCGGGAGCTCGGAGAAGGAGTATCCCACGACTTGGGCTGCCTCCACGGATCTTTTTCAACTCCTCAAAGACCCCAAAGCTTCATTTCTAACATTCCAATTCTATAATTCACCTCACATCCTAGATCCTAGATCCTATCGTCCCAAGACTGCTTTACTCCGACCTCGCTATATCCCTAGACTACCATGGTAGACAAATCGCAATGCCAGACGCACACCCGCACACCCTGGGGCAAACCCGCCCATCTCTACGACCGCCGAATTCGATACCTATTCATGGGCATCCTTCTTGCCACCTTTCTCGCCGCCGTCGTGGTAGCTGTCTTTGTTGTCGTCGATATCGCAAACGGTCACTTGAAGCAGCCGGAACCTGACCTGTCGAATTTGATGTCTGCCGACTTTTTGGTGTCAAAGGTGTTTCACGGCGATAAAGAGAAACATCCCTATCACCCGCCTTTTCAGATGTGTGGGAATCACCTTCATGACTGCCAGGCGTACTTTAAGCCCGTACGCTTCATCTCTTGAGCCTTGGCTGCGGAGCCTCACTAACATGATGGCTTAGAACTTTTGCTGTCCTCCGCTCCAAGTCTGCCATGAAACAAAATGGTCTCCCTCGGGGATATACTGTTGCGCTATAACAGACGAGTGCATTGTTTCTAAGGAGCATCCCGCGACATGCCTGGCCAACACGACGCAGTGCGGACAAGAACTCGGTGGCGGATGCTGTCCCGAGGGCACCACATGTTCGCCGGATGGATGTTTACAGCAATTGGACTCAGGAACAGGGCTCCTCGACAGCCTGCTGCTACCAAGAATGGAGATGGATCAAGAGGCGGTGTCTGAGACATTCGACATTGAACAAGACAAGGCGGAAAGCCACAAGGCGCTGTCGACCGGGTACAAGTTTGGCGAAGTTGGGATGGTCAAGCTAAGTACAAGCGAAATGCTCCGAATACCGCACATGGGCATGATACTGTCTGTGGGTATGGCATTGTCATTTGTCGCCTTGTAGATTCATCTGGGCCCTGGATGTCCTTTGCATAATTTGATAAACAAGTTGGTTAACTCACGTCCTCGACATAACATAAATTCACGACCAATTATGAACAGTAGGCATAAGTTTCAATGTGCTTGCTTCTATGTGCAGATCTATATCTGTATATTTGTTGAATATTCCGCCATCAGGAGACGCACGCGCTCTCCATCTGCGAAATGTGTTGTCATTTACATTTCTGTCATTATTTATCCAGCCATTATCATTAACCAACCAGGGTGCTCCCATTGTCGCCTAACAGCAACACGCCCAGCCCAGAAATCACCTCATTGCCCGTCCACGGGATACATCTCGAGAGTATGAGTCAACATACACGTGGGATCATTCACACAAAAAAAGTAAATGCACCCAAAACCGTCGCGGGGGCGTAGCCAGCCCGATAAAACGCCAAACCGGGGGGTATCATAATATGCATACGAAGTAGAAAAGTGTCCAAAAAGAAGTAGATGAGGGTTTGTCGGTTACATCCAGACGGCGAAAAAGAGCATGACGAGGACGAGGGCGATGCTCGTATAGGCGACGTGCTTCCGTCCTGAAGCTGCGTTGCCCTCCTCGCTGGGTTCGGATCGTGAAAAGACAGAGTTGGTATTGTTGCCAATAAAGTCGAGGACGTCGTTGGACGAGGATGCAAGGTCGAGGAGTAGGCTCATGCCGCCGTGCGCAAACGACTTGACATTGACAGAGGCAGCTTTGAGAATGGACACCTTGAATGCGCCGGGCCCCAGCTTCTGCGTCAGGGCGGCCTGTCTCGAGCGGTCTTGGGCGTGGACGAGGCGCTCATGAGGAGGTAATTGGGATGCAACACCTAGAAGGGAGGGAGCTGTTAGCTTGCGAGGTGTGACGCGGCCTTGCGCAAAAAGACGTACCATGTGTCGCGAGCTGCGACGTGCCAGAAAGGTGGACAGAATCAGCTGCCAAAGCTATCGACACCATTGTCCATAGCAGAACCAAGAGTGAAGTCGGCGAACGCATCGTGATGCAAAAGCGATGGAGTTCTCTCTCTCTCTCTTTCTCCTCCCTTTTGGCGAAATCGTTTAGATATAAGCGAATGGGCGAGTAATGACAAAGCAAGATACGAGTTTTGAAGCTCTTGCGTGTCGTCGTTGTCGTCGTCGTCGTGAGGTTCGAAGCAGCCACCAGCAATTAACTTTGCCCCTCCAAATCCGGACCAGTAGGTAGCGACAGCAAAAAAGAAAGTTTTTCCCGAAGGTTGGTAGCGATGATCAGGGAAAAGACTGTCCGAAAATCCAAGAAATTCCTTTAAGGCTCCAGCCCTTTTCCACCCACTGCACACTCCTTAAACAAATGACGATGGGGGCCGCGCCCGTTCGAGGAGGGAGCTGAAGAATTCAGAGCAAAGGGGATTGGACGGGTTTTCGGGGCCACGCGTACGGGTGTGGTGTGTCTCGATCGTGGGGGGGGAGGGGGGGGGGGGTAGAAGCTTGGTTCAAAAATGTCTTTTAGGCTTCCTTTTGTTGTTCCAGATGATAAAAACGATTGATGGATGGAATGGAGTGTCGTCCCAATGTAAATAACAAATAAACACCAAAATGCCTTGAGAACTGGGTCGTGGTCCCTTATTAAGAAAGAATGGAGGTCGCAGGTAAAAAGGGAAACAAGGCAAGGTAAAAGCTCCTTAACCTTGCCTTGCCTTGACCCTTGAGCTCTTTTTTCCCGCTATTGCTGCACATCGTCGATGGTGGAGTGTGTGCGTCACGACGCTATTGGCTGTGCTAACCCTCCAACTTGTTGCTGGCAGAGTCTCGCTAAAATAGAGCGTTGGCGCTAGAAAGGGTAAAGGGGGTGGAAAGCACCGACCATTGAGAGAGCCATTTTCTTTCCTTGCTGGAGCCTTGCTCAGCTCATTATCAGCCTGGGCAAGGAAAGAGGAGGAGAAAAAAGGTGAGATCTCTTGTTCTCCGCGTCTGGGCAGCCTTGCAGGGGCTGAAGCAAGGCAGGGCAAAGATGCAACCTGCTGACGACACTTGGTTTCCCATACCCTCCTACTTCTAGAAGGAGGGGGGAGATAATCGTCTCATGAGGACCTCTCTCGGCCTTTTCCTCTAATGGGGGCAAGGCTGGCCCAGAAAATTTCAGCCTCAGGAGGCGTGGCCGGTGGGATAAACGACTCATGTGTAAAGACAATTCGTTCGTTCCATTTCTCTCTCAACAAAGCACAGGCTCTTTCGCCACTCAATAGTTTACTACGTAGCCCCTGAGCCATCCCATCTAAAAGACTAGAAAGAAAAAAAAAATGAAGGAAATTTTTTTTTTTTTTTGATGCTGTTGGCTTCAATGTAGCCCCGCGATTACCGCGCGTCCCTTCTCTTTCAAGTCACAGCCTCTCCACCAAAGATGGATCCTGATCCTGATCCTGCTTTTGCTCTCTCCCTCAGCTGCCTCCCATGTTCCCCCTCCCTCCCCCACACTCGGTCACTTTTTTTCTCGGCGTCGATGACGTACGCCTCTCGGGAAAAGATAACGGGACGAGGCTTATTGGAGAAGGAGAACTATACCGCCGAACCGATTGGTTCATCTTGCCCACGCGCCCTTCTGGCTCAGAGATACTCTCAAGAACCTTGAGATCAAGCTTGAACATGTATCAAGGGACTCAATGACAGGGAACGCAAGGCTTGGCTAAACGGACTTGTTCCAGGATCACGAAAAACATGGAAGCCACCCCATCCATGCCCCCCCTTCTTCCCCCAAGTGTGAAACGCTTCCTTTGCAAAGTCGGCATCGGCCGAGCTGCATCCACCTGCAAACTGGACCTCGTTGATCTTTTCCCCATGTCATGTCGCAATGCCTATGTCATGCGTTATATAAAAAGGATCGATCCTGTTTAGGCACACCAGTTACAACATTGTCGCCCAGCACGGGAAAAGCCTCACGTATGATGCCTCTAGGTTCTCCCGTGTTTCACATCCACGTCCACATCTGCAGCAGCATTGTCCAAAGAAAGAAAACAGGACCAACAAGAGCCCGTGCCTCACGTGCAAGTGCCCCCCAATCATAAGAATGCCAAATGTAAATTGCATGCCAAATGTCTCAAGCTCATGAATCGTAGTGCCTTATTCAATCCCCACTTTCTTCCATTGTCTCGGCCTTTTCTAGGCTCATGCTCTTTTTATATCCTACAATATCATCTTCCTTTTTCGTAAGTATATGCTTCATCTACCTTGTCTTCAAGGCTGACACCATGGTAGAGATTCAATGTGTGTGAGATCCGCGCCTTGCTGATGATGCAGATACAGCCTCGCATCCCAAGCCCCTTCATGTGTCAGATTTATGAAGCACAATTTGACACTGCCAGGGTTGAGCTTACTCCAGGCAGACCGACAACGAGCCGTCACGTTTCAGATCAGCGGGAGTACGTATCTTGAGTAATAGCTCGAGTAATAGCCCCAGCTCCAATAAATGAGTTCGCTCCAAAGGAATCGCTCATCGCAATAAGATTAAAAAAAATGTTTGATGACAGACAACACAGCCAACGCGTCCTCGTATTCGACTCACGCTCGGAAGCCTCTTATGGACCTGCCGCATAGAGCTGGCCCTGAGCATTGGTCATTCGCGACCATGTGCCTTGCGGCATCATCTGCGGTGGACTTGGATGCCCAGTCATGTAGAGACCGTCCACCTCGGCTTCGCTGCTGGTCGTCGTGCGGCTACCTTGTGAGTACTCGCCACTGCTGCTATTCCGGCTGTGTTGGTATGTTCGCATTGTACCGCGACCAACGCTTGGTTGATACTGCGACCGCCCCGTCACGCTGCCAACGTTGGATTGGATCTGTAGTCCGCCAAACGACGTCTCAAGGTCCTGCGAGTATTGATGTACGCAATGCGGCTCCGAGATGCCGCAGACCTCCGTCATGATCTGGTAGATGCGTTGTTGTACCTCAATGGCAGGAGGCCGGTCATATGGGTTGGCCGACAACATACCCGTGACAACATGTAGTATGGGAGTAACTCCTCGGAAGAAGTTTGAGTCATCCTTGCCTGGCGATGATTTCCGAGAGGCGTCTTTGGCAAGACCCGACATCCATGCTTCTACTTGGCCCAGGTTCTTGTGAAAGGACGTGTCCAATACCGCACCACCTCGCCCAGCCGTCTTGTGCTTCGCAGACCGGAAAGCCGCAAACTTGCTTGATGACTTTTTGACCAGCAATGATAGAATTTCTAGTATGATGCATCCTAGTGAGAATATGTCGGCCTGCTGGGCGCTTAGATGCGCGTTTGAGGCTAGAAACATTGCTGTGGACGAGTTGGAGTTGTACTGCTGCATCATGCTAAAGTGACTGTCCTCAGGAGGCGTGAATCGGCTTGGTGGACTCGACGCGCCTGCAGGCCGTGCCCATTGCTCTGGTGCTGCATAGTCATACCATTCTCGATCGAAAGATGACTTATCCGTGTGAAGAATAACAGCGTCGGGGGTCAGTCGAGTGGAGTCGGAGAAGAAGATGTGATTCTGGTTGGTGAAGAAGATGGTTGATGGTTTGATGTAGCCGTGCGATCGATTCTTGCTATGGAGATAGCAGAGGGTATCGACCAGGCACAGAATCCAGTTCATTAGGAGCTCCCTACGGCGTGTCTTTGCCAGGTGCTTGAACTGAGATGGTGTCGTCGCCAGAAACGACTTGAGCGTAAGGTCGCTCGGCGGTGAGAAGAGAACGTATCCGAATCCATTGTGAGTATAAGACGCCCAGTACGAGACCATGTGCTCGTTCTGCAGCCCCTTGATCCCTTGGATGGCGTCTAGAAACTCGGATATCGGTATGGCACCAGGCCCTGCGCCCAGGGAATATCGCCGGCGACAAAAGAACGCTCCCGAAACATTGGGGAGCTTCACTTTGTCGATGGCATGCGACTTGTGAGTGGCCAGGGGAGACCGCTCAATAACATCGAGGGGCACAACCTCTTGGTCGCCGTACACAAGGTGGCTCCCGCGCTGCAAAGGCTTGAGGAGGTAGTGGAATTGACGCTGGTAAAACTTCTTTTCGACCTTTTCGTCGCGGACTGCAGTCAGCGCAAGGCGGTCCACGTCCTCAAGGGCAATGGGAAGCTCGGCGTCATCCCAACCATCGTCAATAACTCCAAAGATCTGATCGGGCACACCGAGGTCGACCAAGATGAGGAACATGCGGGGAGCATCGTTCCGGATGCTCTCCCAGTAGGTGCGCTCGGTGAGGTCCTCGCCGCCAAAGGCGACGGGACGATCTAGGCGCTCAATCTCATCCGGGAGAAGCTGGCTCAGGACGAAGGGTCGGGTGACGGTGGCTTCGATGCGAGAGTCGACCCACCACTGTGGCATTGTCGGCTTGGCGGACTATATGGGGGATGTGAAGGATAAGGAGATGACCCCTCTAGGTGTACGATGCTGCGTCGCCTAGACCTGCATCTGTAGTTGGAGGGTTAGATAGCTGAACGTGGGCAATGCGGCAGCTGAGGCTTGGTCTACCGTATGGCGGTGCTCGTTTGAAACTCGCAGCGGCGGGACTGATGGAAGCGCAGTCAAGGTCCGTCAGACTCTTGGATAACACCGTCTTGGATGAGAAATCAAAGGTTTACTACCGTGGCTGTCTGCTCAGGGGACATGGACGACTTTCATATGGTGGATGCATGCAGTAGTAGTAGTAGCAGCAGCAGCAGCAGCAACAACGGCAGCCGTGGAGAAGGTGACAGTGGATGGCGTCCAGGGTTCGGGGGCTCGCCTCATGGCTCGTGGCATGTGGATGACATGGACATGGCTTGGGGGCCAGGATCCGATCCGTCAGAATGGAGGCGAGGGAGACGGACAGGTCGGGGTCGTGCAGAATGCAGAGTAAAAGGCGAATCGAATGGAGCAAGCAAGCGAAAGCGCGCGAGTGAGAGGCTTATCTTGGTTCAAGAGCGGAAAGCAAACTGGAACTGGGGGGTGTGAGAGGTTGTCCGCGCGGTGGCTGCGGGCTGTCGTGACGGCGTGATTGGTGAGGAGGGGCAGAGAGACAGTGGCCGGCGGGCGCAGATAAGAAGGGCTGAGAGAGAAGTGACTCTGAAATGGGAACCGAGAGGAGAGAGAGGAACAAAACGTGAGTGAGACGATGGATTTGTTCAAGAGGGGCCTGGGCCTGACTCGAGGCGATTCGCTCGCTGGGTAAAAGTCGTCAACTGCCCATTCCCTTTCCCGCTTGGTACCTAGAGCGGGCGTTTTTATGTCGCAAAGGATGGAACCAGCGGGCGTATCGTAGCGCGTTTATTACCGGGAGGTACCGCTCCGTTCATTGCTTGCTTCCAGCCCTTGCAGGGGCGTTTTGAGGGGCTGCTGCTGCTGATGTTTAATGTCGCGTGCTCTTTGAGAGTCTATCCTTGGCTTGCGTCTCTTCTCGAGGCTGTCTAGATGTTGTCGACTCCGACTGTTTGCGTCGCTTCAATCCATTGGCATCATCACTTTCTTTAGCTTCCGCCATTGGATGTTTGCGATCCCGGAGCCAAGCCCCTCTCGTCGTCAATGTCGGCGGATTCAAGGTGCAGGTTTGCGGGCGTAGAAGGCGCCCCAAGTGACATTTTATCCATTCGAGCCCTTGACGGTTGCCCCCCCCGCCATCTTTCATCACCAGCAGGGGTCCTGCTCTAACATCCCCCACCCCAATCCGAACTTGAAAGCTCGCTCTTTAAACATCCATTCCCAAATTCCGTCCACACAAATAAAGGCTCTTTTGTCTCCATTTGCGGCTCGGTGCAGTTCATAACGGGCGCAGTAGCGTCTCCTAATGCCTTTGCTTGATGAACCATCTTGCCGGTGTTCCGAACGGAAGCATCAACAATGTCCCAGAGGGGCTGCTAGCTGCTGCTTAACATACCCTTACCTCTCCACCCTCACCACATGGTGTCTCGTTCAACTGCTTCAAACCATGCAAATTGGACTCCACGTGTAAGACCAGCGCAGGTACTCTCCCTTGCCTGTCTGCATGGTAGCTTTGTAATCCTCTCCCATGAAGGAATTAGCCTAAGCAATGGTAGAGACTAGACGAACTCGTGGCTTGAAGCCATACCGTGTCATGACGTTCCGTGAATATTCTTGAAGCTCAAGTTCGCGGTTCTTTTAACTTTATCCCTAACCTTCCCAAGCCTGTCACTCTCGGTTCAGCCTCCGGGTGACGTTGACGCCCTGCAGACTCCCCATGCCTTGGCACACCCACGGACCTCCTTTGATCGCGGCTCTCCTGCTACTCCCCACGGACGACTCAGACTCCCTGCAGCCCAACGGCCGTTCTGTATATCCTCGAGCGCCCGCAAATGTTGCAGATGCCTCCTCCCATGGCTCAAAGCGTGACCTCTTCCTGTCCGATCCCGCCCAGGATCACGCTTCCCCGAGCCAGTCACAGCATTAACAGAGGGGCATCTTTCGTCACACCACATGCTTTTTCTCAAAAGCCCAGTCTCTCAACGCAGGCGTCGTGTGGTCTCGGACCAGGTTCAACGGTTCTTTGGCTTGACTATGTGGCACCAGTTGTCGTAGGGCGCCGTGCCGTGTGTGTTGCAAGCCGCGTTACACAGAGGCTCCGGCTAGGGCAGCAACTAGGCAGCTCGTTGTTTTACCTTAATAGGTAGTTTTCGAGTCTTGCCGTAATAAGTAGTTGGATAGGTAAAACCTCTACACCCTCTTGTCGGTATTGTCTTTCTAGCGGAAGATAGACAAGGTTCTTTCGTCATAGTTGTTTGTTTGCTGTGCGGAACGGTTCTGACAAACCAGGAACCAACTCACCCCCTGAAAAATGGCATGTTCTATCAGTTCGGCCATGGAGAAATTCTCGAAGTGATCCACTATGGTAGAATACGACATCGGATTCTAATCATGACCTTTTATTCCAAGGTTCACTTCGAAGGCTGACTCCCTTGTTGATGAAGACTCTCGGAAGACTATGGTAAGATAATGGCCATGAGTAATACACAACCCCTGAATATCAATTACCCATCACGATATGTCTTTATGTGGATATCTACAAGTACATGGACGTAACGAAGCTGACGCAGCGAATGCCATGTCTTTGGCCTTGCAACAGCCTTGTAGGGTCTAATACATTATCATTTCTATTCCGTGTATCCGTGTCCCTCTCCATCCCCTGCTCCTTTGTCGTCACAGATCCCGGCGCCAGCGCCGATTTCACTCCAGCTTCTGTCCACTTCTTCCAACAAACGTCTTCATGCCACTGTCGACGCCCGCTACCCACCGCGCAATGACCTGCACTCCCACAGGCAGCACGTTGAACCAGTCGATCCATCTGGCGTAGAAGGGCATTCCAACGGTTGCGCCCCTTCCGTTGTCAATGGCCGCCACGATCTCCTTGGTGACGTCGACGGGCTCGACGACGGGCGCAATAAACGAGTTGGGGGTCTGAACACCGTAGAAGAGAGGCGTGCTCAACTGGCCTGGCGTCACGAGCACGGTACGGATCTCCGGGTGGCTTTCGCGTAGCTCGGCTGTAAGTGATCGGTGCATCGCCGTGATTCCTGCCTTTGCGGCCGCATAGTCTGTCAGTTGCGCGGCGCCCACGGTGCCAATGACGGATGAGATATTGACGATTGTGCCACCGTTTCCGCCCCGAATGATGGCAGGGAGGAAGGCCTTCAGACAGTAAAAAGGTCCAAGGAGGTTAGTGGTGAGGCTCCGGTCGATCTCGTCCAGTGACAGGTCCAGAAGAGTCTTTCCAACTACAATTGCAGCGTTGTTGATGAGCACAGTTGGGGTGCCGAGCTAAAGTCCGATTAGCAATGCATTGGATATATCGAGGCCTTGAACTTACATCCTTCTCGATTTCGAGAGAAACCTTGGCAACCTGCTCCTTGTCTCCAACATCACACTTGTAGTACGTAACACCCCTCGCCTCAGTGTTCTCCATCTCATTCACATCCAGCACAGCCACCGTCGCGCCGCGCATACCGTACACCTCAGCAACCAGAAGACCAAGCCCGCTGGCACCGCCGGTAATGACGATAACCTCCTCACTCAAGTCTACCTCGCGAGGGATACCATGAGCAATACGCTGGTTAATGATGCTGGCCATCCAGCAGAGCGTGATAAAGGTGGCCCATGCGATGGAGGCGATCATGGGCGGGGCATCCCACTTGACCGTCTGAGCACGGAAGCAAAGAGGGATGATCCAGCAGATAAAAGGATGAAGAAATGTCGTGTTGAGGACCTTGAGGATGAGGTCAATCGACATGGGCGCAAACCATGATTCGCGCTGAGGAGGGCGCGGATACTGAGCGTTTCCTGGCATGATGAGATGAGGCGACGTGAGTCGTAGCACGTCTGATGAGAGATTCTAAGTGAGAGAGGTATTACAAAGACACAGAGTACACCAGATCTGTGCAAAAGTGAGTGTGAAGGAGTTAAAAAGGGTCTCCCTGTCCTGAAGGGAAAAGGCCAAGATGTGAGACGAGGTTGGAGTTTGACTGCGTGTTAGCATGTGGCACTGAAACCGCCTGCGTCTCTAAGCGCGGAGCTCCGAGCACCCCCTGTCGTGTCGCCGCCCTGAGCCCACTTCAACCAAGAGCCTCCAACCTGACAAGGAGGTAAATTCAACAACATCCGATGAGTTAAATGCTGGGCGCTTGGATCGATATCGAGGACCTATCAAGCATGAAGGCGTCTTTCTGGTTATCACCAATACCTCGCTGCCTCCTAGAATATGACGAGTAGTTACGTGCATCAACTGTGTCCAGACATCGGATGAAAACCATCTCAACTTTTTATTGTACAACATTGATAGATAGTAGGGTTAGTTTACAACTATGTTACATAACCAGCGCCGGTCTATATGCAAAGGCTGGAAATCATGGTACTCATACACACATGTTCATGATCTACCCCTCCCAGTTCCGGTTCGAGGTCGATAACCTCTATGAACCTCTCGATCATCCTGCTCCTCATTCTCTCGGTTTCGCTGAATAGCATCTTGCCTCCAGGCGTGATAGCTGGGGTCTCGTGCAACACCCTCTCGGCGCCACTTCTGCGGCGGCTTGATGCCAAGGGCTGCCTTTGTCTCCCAGACATCCTTGCCACGACGGAACCAGCGCTCCTGTCGCGATTCCTCCTCCTTGATAGTGGGCTGCCACTTGCTCCTGAGGATTCGGCGGATCACCTCGGGCGATACTTCAAACTTTGTCGCCAGGGCGGCTGTCGTGTAGACATCGGGGAACTGGGCGTTCAACGCGCGGATACCGGCTAGCGCATCTGGGGAGAGACGCTTCCTCGGACGCCATCCTTCAGGGAACTTTTCCTTCAGAGCCGCCTTCTGGGCCTTCCACATATCCGCCTTTGACTGCGGTTCGCCTGGTGAAGGTCCCTTGGGTCGCTCGGGTCGTTCAGTTCGCTCAACAGAGGCACCTTTGAATTCTCTCCTAGGTGGGCTGCTTGTTTCCCTGTTCACATTTTTACTCCAATTTGTATCATAGAAGTCGGCCCTCTTGCGAGGTTGGTATTTGGGGGCTGCTGGCGTGGGCAAGGGCTCCGATGAGTCTGATCTTTCGGTTGGACGCTCAGGCTGGGGAGCCTCGCTGCTCACGGCGGGAGATTTATCCTTCGGAGAAGAATTGGTATCCAAATCTAAGCTGGCTAGGACCGAACTTGCGCTGGAAGCATCTTGGCTTAGCTGCTTTGACGCATGAATGGACCGAGCTTGTCGTGGCAAGGCAAAGTGATTCTGATAGAGGGCAGGTCGTGTGGCGGAAGCGGGAAGGCGAACGAAGGAGGGTTTGGCTTCAAGCTTGTGCACTTGAGATAGACCTTGGACAAAGATCTTTAAAGGCGTGACACGACATGTGCAAGCCATCATGACAGGCGGTGCCGGAGCGAGTGATCGAGACGGCGGCAGCAAAAAAAGTCGGACCAAATCTGGAAAAGAGCACAAGACTCCATCATGAGCGAGCAAGGGTCTGACGGTGGGGGCAGATCAGTCAATTGGAGCTAGTCCCATTTTAGAATCTCGGAATGAAGTAGCTCCGTTGTCCGGTGCCAAGCATTCACAGCAACCAACTTGCATGTGAAGGGGGAATTCAGGTCTCATTGATTTGTCCACCCACCATGTCCGTTATGCCGGTGCAGACGCAAGACCACCGTTCGTCAAGCAGTGAGACGGAAATGCAAGCCTTCCGTGCTTCCGCGAACCCTGCCTGTATTCGGTGTGTGTTTCAAGACACGACAGACCCGGTATAAGGGCTCCAACTTCACCCATGACATGCATGTTGGAATTCCTTCCTTTGCTTTTAACCTGGGATTGTGATGCATCGCCTCTATTCGTGGAGTTGACCGAGGCATTGACAACTCTTACTGATCTCTAGGATGCTCCTCCGTGCAGTTGCAGGAGACCACCTCAACTAGCCGGCCCGTCATGGATCCTCAGTGTTGGGTGGTGTCATCTCCACGCAACTAGTCGTTGAGACATGGATACAGATGCGGATGCAGCTGCGAGAAGAAAAATAACTTGCCAGGTACTTGGTTTATCCCGCATTCCAATGGCCAGTTCCCGTTGCTTTTCTTGGGTCCTTTGGCGAGGGCTTGTAGTCTCTGGACCAACAACTGCAACCTCGACCGGACTCACACAACCCCTTCCGAAATCCATGGACAATATCATGGGCGTCATTATCACCCAGGAGAGTCATCGATCTTCTACGCTATTCGGAGATCTACTCCGGGCACACTAACTAACGGACAGCCACCCGTGTCAATCGATCACCGTTAGCTTGCCCCGCAAACAGGTCCCTGTCCGAACCAGGAGGGAGGGAAACGGTCACTGGCTTATCCTTGGAGGCTTGTTGGGGAGCCTCGCTTAAACAATCCGTTTATCCATCCATGCCAACCACGTCAAGATGCTTGAACAAGATCAGGTCAATCATCCTTGTCCCGGGCCAATTTCAAATGTCAACCTGCGGTGCCGCTCCGAGGACAAGGTCCACTTCAAATGCTGCACGGCCTGTTGTGTGGACGTCTATGGGCCTAGGAGGGACTGTCTAGTTTATGCTGCAGCAGAATGACTGACGAGGCGGCTCGGGAACTCTCTGCGCTGAATGGTTACCTTTCCTCTGGAACGCACGTCTGAATCAAATAATGTGATCCATACGCCCGGAGAGGGTCTTGTTTCTACCAGTTCCCTCGCGGGAGCAGAGGTGGACTCGATGGGGACTCTTGCCGCCGCCCTAATGCATTCGGTTGGCCCAGACTCGGACTCTTGGACTTTACAAGAAGGTGGGAGCACCGTCTTGGTTGCGGCATGTCTCTCCCGGAACTACGGCTGGCCTATAGGAGCTCTTCCTGACAACTTAGCACGAGGGTATGCCACTGTCTCGGGTCTCTCCTTGGCCCGAAGACCTTGGCCGTACCTCTAGTTCCTGATAGGCATTGCCGCTTTCTGGCTTCTGGCCTCTGGTCTGTCTCGTCATGGCCGGCTCCTGTTCTGTATAGCCGAGCTTCCATGCCTATTCCTGGCCTCCCTCGCATTGCAACCTCTCCACTCGCCTGCCATTTCGCACTCGCTGTCCACCAGCTCCATCGAGAACATGCAGACCAACAGGAGCCAGGATGTTGAGGTTATTGACGGCGATCCCGGCCCATCCAAGGGGTGGCCAGACCGCGACAAGTGTCCGCCGTCATGTGCCGAGTAGTCCTCGTCATCAGTTTGTGAAGATTTCCGGGTGTTGGTTCTAGGGGTTTAAAGTCTGCAAAATCCCTTCTTGTTGGACCCTCTCCTGGTTCTGTCTGGTATCAATCTCAATCCTCTATCGAAATCATGTATCCCCACTCTCACATGTCTGAATTCGATGACTTTAGAACAGTCTGGGGTCATTCCTTCTACTGGACTTCCAAACACAAGACAGCACCTGAGATTGCTCACTTGCTCTACTCATATGACAAGTTGGCCACAGACGCATTGGGCCGTCTAGACGAGTTCTCACCGCCGACATCGAAAGCATGGAAGTGTCCTCACGGTGCTGGAGATGGCCAGAGGGACCTCTATGTTCTCCTACAAAAGTATGCCGACTCGGATGAGGTGTTGGGTCAGCTATGGGATGAGGTCTCGACAGTCCCCGAGTGGGTTGACTGGGAACAGATTGAACGTGGCCAACGAGTGGTTTACCAATACAGTGCACAAATTTTACTTGGCGTTAGTAAATGTCGTTATAAAGAAGCAATACTTGCTAACTATGTTGTAGCTCCTATACAAGTCCCTATTGGGCGGAATGGGCGCATATCGTGTTGTCGAAACTCTCTCAAGGACAGGAGGGTTTGGAGTTCGGGTTACCAAACGCCGTCTTTTAGAGACACTGCAACATTTCATGGAAGTTGTCGAAGACATTGATGCTGTTAAACCTGGTGGAAAGGGCTACGTCTCGTCAGTGCGGGTTAGATTACTGCATGCGGCAGTTCGACGTCGGCTTATGCAACTGGAGCACGAACGGCCAGGCTATTTCGACATGGACAAGTGGGGAGTGCCGATCAATGATTTGCATTCGATCGGCACTATTTCCGTTTATTCGGTAGCCATTATTTACATGGCTCTTCCACGACAGGGCATCTACTTGACGGATCAACAGATAACCGACTATCTTGCACTATGGCGTTGGGTCGGATACTTGCTTGGCACGCCTGTGGACTGGATGGCTACGCCAGCGCAGGCCAAGGCTATGATGGAGTCTGTCATGACATCTGAAGTGGCACCGTCGGCCAACTCTCGCATCCTCGCCAACAACATCCTTACCTCCCAAGCACGCATTCCGCCACTACACGCACCCCGCGAACTCCTCGCTGCCCAAGCCTACCAACTCAACGGAGACCATCTTGCTGGTGCACTAGGTATTGAGAAGCCTCCATGGCATTACCGTGCAATTGTTTGGATGCAATGCGTCGTGCTCTACTGGATGAGCTATAGTTACCCCTGGCTGCCGACTGACATGCAGAGGAGTCGGGACAGGGTACGTACATGATCAGCACAACACAGACGACAACACATCAGCAACCATTTCCCCACCCCAAGTTCTAATTTGACTTCCATCAATGAGTTGCGTTGTCTGCTTACCCCTGGACCCTGCATCTGGGGATAGGAAATACGAGCCCAAAGGAGCGAACGTGGCTGACGCTGTGTAACAGAGATTCAAAAGCTTTGCGCATTTCATGATCCACAGCAAAAAGATTGGCGGCATCGGCGAATCCACCAAGTTCGAGTTCCAATATCTCCCGCGCATTGGCATGCTCACGGAGCTGGGACACCCCGAGGAGCCGGACGAGAAGGAGGCCGTGTCGTCGAATTCGGGCACGCTAAGGCTGATGACACGCCATTCCAAGATGCCCATCCGGGCTGTGCTCGTAGTCGGGACAATAGTCGGTGCCGTGGCCGTGGTCAGCCTCGCCCGGTTCGTGGGCTCACCCTCGGGCTGGCTGCGAGGCGTGCCGCGCCATCTGCTCTCGTCAGTCATGGCGCAGACGCAGTTGCTGCAAAGCCTCGCGTGACGAATTTTGTTGATTATCTCGAATTATTATCACGAGACGAACTGGAGTTTGGAAGCCACCTTCATTTAGGTATTTCGTTTTTATTTAGTCAAGAATGGTGAGGAAGGATGTGTGCGTCCAGTGACCTGCAGCAGGATAGGCAGCAAGAGTTGAACCCATCCAACAACCCAAGCATCTCAACATCAATCTTCATCATCTGAATCCGAATCGTAATGGATCTTTCCTGTGCCCTCACATTGCACGCATTCTTCCCGGACAACTCTCATCCCGTAGCATTCAGTACACTGCAAACTCTGCCTCCCGCTTCCACTGCACCACTGACAGTTGCGGTTCCGGCAGCATGGATACTGAATCTCACCGGCGCCGCCGCACTCGTGACATTTGACCTCGATTTCGCCGCTGCCTGTGCATCCGTCGCATCTGGTCATCTTGTCAAAAATCAGGCCTAGTCGGGCTTGGTGAGTTGGCTCACCTAGAAGCACGGTGGGAGAGCGCTTACTTGCAGTGACTGCTGGTCGAAAAAGGGGTAGACTGGAGGTCTAGGTACTGAAGCTGGTTGTATAGATATAGATTTGTCTTGGTTAAAGTAGGTAGACAGCAACTGGGCTTTATAGTTGTCACTTTCTTGCCAAAGAGGCATCCGCCTGGCCTCAGTAATAGGGATGCTTGACGATATGACGTCCGAGGCTTTGCAACTTGTTGTTATGCCGGCATCCATTCATTAGCTCATCTGGTGTTGTGTGGGTTTCTGGATATCTTGAACAACACTGAACTTTTGAGTCCCCAGACTTGGACAGGTCCGCTCCAACACAGCACAGATGCAATAGTAAGGGAAATAAGAACAGCTAGCAAATTTTCTCGATAATTCTATTTGGATTAATGCCTCTCGGGCGTCTTCTTCTTCTTCTTCAGACTTGCCAGCTGAAGTAGTATGTTCCATATGGAGCCTGATATGCTCAAGTCACAAGGCCTTCTGGTGGAGGTCAGCAATCATGCACAAGTCCTATTCGGTCGAGCGGCATCAGTCGCCATTTTCACATTAGTCAAATCACAAGCAGTAGACAAAGCAGGCAGAGTTTGGTTTCAGATATTAATATTTCCGAATAGCTATAGTACAGAGGCTCCTATCTGGGCCAGCCAAGCAAAGACCAGATAGGGCACTTTGCTGGTGTAGATAACCCACCAAGTCTGCAATACGCAGACAAATATAAAGATGCTTGTTTTTACCCAACTCCAGCGATACAAAGAACCAATGCTGAAAATGCTCCCGTACGATCCGATATGAAAATGACCCGCTCGATCCTGTCACCAGCCGAACCCTCCCGTGTGTCACCGATCCCCTGTGAAACGCCTTAAAGACTAGAAAGAATCTGTTGCATGATTCTCGATCTGTAGATGCTCATCCCACTGCTAGTCAAGCCACTTAAGCGTCGCTCATAAGCTCAACAGGTGGCCGAGCAGTGTGAGCCATGATGGGCTTGGTGGGCTCCTCCACGGGGCTGTACGCGCAGGGCTCATCAGTCATGTCCTCGACAAAGACGGCGGGCATGCTGCTCTCCTCGTTGGGCTTGTAGATGAGCGTGGAGGAGCGCGAGCGAGTGCGGCCGGGAAGAGCAGAGTCGGGAGGCGTGATGGGCGAGCTGGCAACGTCGTCGACGGGGCCGGGGCGGTGGTGAAGCTTAGCCAGAGCGTCGGCCAGGTCCTCGGCGTGCACGAGCTTGTTGGGAGCGTCCTCGAGACGGTCCTCCCAGCCGTGGGGAGGGCTAGGAGGAGGAGAGATGAAGAAGAGCTTGCCGGCGTCGGGGAGAGCAAGATGCTCATCTCGCTGGTCGACAGGTGTAGGCTTGCCAAAGTAGACACGGCACTGCTGACCCATGATGGCCTCGTTGTCCCAGATCTGTCGGACGGCGATGGCGGACTGCTCGTCGTAGAAGGAGACGATGATGCGTCGGAACGACTTAAGCGGGGAGAAGGCGTGGATGGTGGCCGATTGGGAGATGAGGTCGCGGATGACGTCGAGGTTCTCGGGGAGGAAGATGGCCGGGTCGGCGAGGTTGGTGAGGAGGAGGGTGTTTGAGGGGGGCGTGGGTGGTGTCATGGGCGGGATGGACGAGAGGTCGAGGGTGAGGTTTGATCGTCGCGAGGCAGACGAGGAGGAGCGGGAGTGTCGAGGTGAGGGCTCCATTGTGGATGTAGTTGAAGAAGAAGTGGTGATGTTGGTGATGTTGATTCTAGACTGTTGCGTCTGTGTGTGTGACTGTGACTGTGACTGTGACTGTGACTGCAGGTATAGTCTGTGATGTTTCTTGGTGTAGTTGTAGTTGTAGATGTTGTAGTAGTTGTGGTTGTGTTGTTGTTCGAGTTAAAGAAAGTGCAAGTGTGGTGATATGGGCGGCTATTATATCAAGCCGCTTACTGACCTTGGATCCATGCCATGTCCCGAAGACGGGGCAAAAAAGAGAGGCTTAGCTTTAGCGGGAAGAGGGTTCAGGTTCCATCTGGTGGCCACGTACAAGCAGGGGGCGCGTTTAGTGCTACATGCATCCATGTGGGGGCACGGACCATTGAAGGCTGTGCTCTCTTTGGTCTCCACTTCCAGACAAATGGGTTGCCGCCCTTGGACAAGGTCACGGCCACGGCCATGGCGATGGCGATTCTCCTCCTCCTCCAGGGGTGGCCTAGAAACCTTAACTGCCCACTTCTCTACAGCAGTACATGGACACGGGCTAGACGGATGATACGCCAGGCTTGCGATTCAGTTGACAGAGGCAGTGCTTCAACAAAAAATTTGCCAGATTCTAGAGCCGTCCAAGACACTCCTACGGACCATGGGATCACACGGGGGCAGTGAAAGCAAGTGGAGAGATATTGGATCAAACCGAAAGCGAAAGAGCAAAAGCAGCAGACAAATTCACTGCCCCCATACCCCATCTCGAGACTTTGCTTGTCCCAGTCTCGAAAAAAGGCGCCATCTTCATCTCTACTCACCAACCACCCCCTGGAAACCTGCATGAGACTACTGCACTTTGCTCGTGCACGTCAACCCCAAACCGACGATTCGCTGCGCTACCTCTTTTCCTATCCCCCCAAGAGTTTCAGCGTCTTGTGAAACTCGAAAGATAAATTTTCTTCTTAGATAAGCGCTTAGCAAAAACAAAAAAAGGATCAAACACGATAGTCTCAACAAGGGGCTCTTTTTTTCGTTTTGACTACAAATCTCCAAGTTTCATATCCGGCGCCTACAAAGCGCCAGACCAGGTTCATACACCACACCCCAACCGCCCGTGTTCCCGGGGATCCCCCACGAGTCAAAAAATTGGGCGATGGCCAGTCGTAGGCTCTCGATGATCGATGACCGTCCAAGACTCCTCTACTCGAAGGGGGCTGTGCAAGAGAGGGGGTGAACAAAACACTGTGTATTTCCCTCGGAAGGGAAAAATGGTTGCTGAAGCGTCTGGACCGAAGGTGCCGAGCACGATTACGCTCATGTCAAAACTTCGCCCAGCTTATTCAGACTATAGAAACATGTCCATGCTCTCTCCCCCCAACTCGTGGCTGAAGGGTTTTTATTAAACGAGATTGCGAACGTCGTGACAGCCTCAACCGCAGCAAGAAAATACGCTTCTCCGCAGTTATGGGCTTGTACTCCCTCTTAGCTTTTCGCCAAGACATTTGGCCTCTCTACCACAGCACAAGAGTTGTAGTGTCTCGGGATACATCCCCTCCGAGCGGGGTTCGAGGGACCGGATGTCCGCATCCATCGTCAGTGCCGCCGATGCGCACCTTGGGGGGTTTATTGATGGGCGGTGAAGGATACAAACCAAGGTGAGTAGGTAGGCGAAACTCGGCCCATAGAGTACTGCCGAGGCATGCTGCACAGGAGTTGTGCCATTCAGTCAAGTTCAGCCCAACTGCCTCTCTAACAGCTAAGCCATGAAGGATGGAGGATATGTAATATCTGCCTTGACAACTGCTGAGAAGCCGCAGTACATGACTATGGAATCATGAAACTCCGCCTCGAACAACATTTGCTATCGGCCTCTTCAACCCCCGCAATTTCGAGTTGCTAGCGTTATGCGCGTATCCACCGTCCAATACTCGCTGAGCCTGCCTTGATGGGATTTTGAAGGGTTACAGCACGACCTGCAATCATGGCAGCACCTATTCCGCAATTGCGCTCAAGCACACACAAGTCCCTCGTCTTTCCCATACCTTCCTATTGTGGAAGTTGGTTTATCTTCAGATCTCAGTCCGAGACAAGACGTGTAAATCGCCGATAGTTGGGTTTTACGGGTAAAAGACACTGGTTTCTCGAGGAATGCCCTGAGATTTGTGCAGTCTATTAAACAGCTCTACGCTTTCATTACCAGTAAATTACTTGTCGATCATTATCCTCGTCTTGAATCAATCTAAGCTCTCATGACGAAGCCATGATTCCAATGTGTATCAACTAACCTCCTAGATTTCGGACAATTACAGGATTCCGCTTTAACAAAATAACTCTAATCATCAATCAACCCCGAGTTTAATTCCAAAGGCCAATAAACCGCCGAGGAATGCTCATCATTGATGTTGGAGACCTCCCTCCGAAACAGACGGGACAAGCCACGGCTTCAGAATCTGGACGCCACAGTGCACGAGCCACCACCGCCCCTGTCAAATTCGTCCGCCCCGCCGGGAGGCAGCTCAACCATCTGCAAGGAACAAGACCCCGAACCCCGTTGTCGCGTGGCTCAGCTCGGACTGACGACGTCACTCTCGCAAAGCCATTGGAATCCTGCTCATTTGCAATTCGAACCTGCTTATCCACATCCCGAGACGGGCCTCGGGCTGGATGGGGTCCTCCGCTGTCTAAGATTGCTGGGGAGTTGGCCACTGGCAGGGCGCAGCAGCAGCATCATCTCTAGAACCGCGTCGTCATGAGCTGCGGTCATGACCATGACATTGAAAACACTAGCTCACGGGGCAGCGCTCCTTTTACAAGGAATCCGTCATGATACATACATACGTTGAATAGCTAAGATACTGTACAGATACTAGTACATCTCCGCAGCTGGATCCGCTTCCAGCCTACAGATCTAGGTCTAGCCCGGGGTCTACCATGTCAAGCTGGATCTGGAGGACGAGGCTCACGAGCCTCAGCTACTCCACAGGCCCAGCTCCCTCCTCCGCATGATGCACTGCCGGCACTCCATATCCTAGCCTTGCGCGCGTGGACCAGTCACGAGCCAAGTGGCTCAGCGAAGCTCGACACCTAGCTCCTTGACGAGAGCCTCGCGGACCCTCTCGTGGAAACCATTGGTCTCGGTGTTGGTCAGCGTCCGCTCCAGGCTGCGATACACCATTCGGTAAGCCATGCTCTTGCGCCCCGTCTTGGGATGCGTAAACTCGTCAATCAGCCGCACATCCTCCACCATGTCGCCTGCCACGTTGCGTACCAGCTCCATCACATCGTTCTCGTGGAAGCTGCCCTTGGTGTTGCCACCCGCCGCCGACGTCGAGCTCAGCCAGAAGGACACGTCCTTGGGGCAGGGAGGGTACTTGGAGAAGGGTACGAAGCGCTTCAGCGTGTCGAGGTTGTCGGTCACACCCTCAAACTGTGACAGGAATCGGTTGTCTTTCGACCAGAAAAGACGGATATCGGGGATCTTGAAGAGGAGCATGGCAATACGGTCGATACCGATGCCAAACGCCCAACCCAGACGGTTCGGCACGCCAGCGTTGATCAAGATATCTTGCTTGACTACACCACATCCAAGTACCTCGAGCCAGTCGCCCGCGTAGTAGACCTCAAGCTCCCATGAGGGGCTGGTGAAGGGGAAGTATGCCTCAACCCATCGCATCTGGAGCGGTTCATCAACAAAGTCGGGGTCCTCCTTGATCGCCGCAGCTTTGGCACGGGAAAAGATGTCGACAACCATGGACTCAAGTGACCTCTTCAGGTGAGCACCGATAGCCTCGGCCTCAGCCGCCGTGTGATGGGGCTCCTGGAGAGGGTTGCGCTCGGGATGAATGGCAGGGTTTGGGTCATCGACTTGGACTCCATGCACGGGAAGGTTCTCAAAGTCCTTCCACACAGCCGCAGCAATATCGCCATTAGGAACTTCGTTACGGTCCCATGACATGGCACCCTCCATCTGATGGAAAACAGGATAGTGACTCCGGTCAATGGCATCTCGCCTGTAGACGTCGGCAGAGATGAGGTAGCCAGCGCTCTGGTTGGCCCGGAAAGTGTCGGCTTGATGGGCACTCGTATGCGTTCGTAGGAGAGTCTCCTTGTTCAGGTAGTAGGTATCTGAGAGAGCACGGCCGGGGTGGTTCGCGGGGAAGCCGAGCGAGTCAAAGTTCTGGGCGGTGGACACAACGGGGCTGAACTCATTGTGGTACTTGAAGGTAGGCTCGGGAAAGTTGGACTGGATGATCTGGCGGGTGATGGAGACGGGGTGATCCTTTTGCAGGTGCAGGCTCCTCGAAGTAGCATCGAGGACGTTGGCCGGGGCGTTGAACCACTCGGGATCCGTCTTGATGGTCTGTCCACGGATAGTGACGGAGCCTTGTTTCGAGCTTGAAGAGCCCGTCGGAGGTACTGCAACGCGGTCAAGCCAGTCAGCGAGACGTCTATGCAAGTATTCAGCTGCAGCTGGACCGACCCGACGAGTATGTCCTCACGGCGCAAGCTGTCCGGAGGATGATGGAGCTCCGGGAGAGGTGGGCGGCTCGCGGGGTAGATACCCGGAGGCAGCGCATGCCCTGGGCGTAGAATCTCATTTTTTGACGGCGTACAAAGCTCGACAATTACATTATAAGTCGACCGGACCACGCAGCAGACGCCAATGGCTTGTGAACGCAATCGCAAAAGAGAGCTTTAGGTTGATTTACCTCGACTGTGAGTGGTTCCATCATTCCCCGTCTTGCAAAAAAGTTCGGCTTTCGGCGTTACAGCTGCTCCGGAGGGAACACCTCCGAAGCCGGCCGGGCCCGCAGAAAAAAAAGACGGAATTTCCACGATTCGCCTTTTCAACGGTCCGCCGTTGGCGCAACCGAACAAAAGAGTCCCACGATCCCTGTTCGGATGCACTCCCCCGATCCGAATCTCCGGCTGCCAGCCAAAGCTCGGTCAATTGGAATTTCAGAGATAACGGAGGAGCTGAAAGGCACGAAAAAAAATCCCCAACCCCATCCGTGCTTACGTCCCCCTCCCCATATCACCATCATTGCGCCCACTCCGCGCTACCTTGTCGCTCGTTCTCCGCGTATTCGATCCAAGAGGAATGTCGACGATAGTATCTCGCAGCTCGTGAAGCTTTCGTTCCCCCCCCGTACGGCCGGATCCCCGCTATAACCACAACCATGGCTACTGCGCAAGAATCTGTCGCCAACATGTCGACAAAGGCGGAGCCCGTCAAGAAGGAAGAGCCGACAAGGAAGAAGGCTTCGATACGGTATCCCTTCTGGTTCGGCGGAAGCGCTAGCAGCTTGGCCGCCTGCGTCACGCATCCATTGGATCTAGGTACGTGGTGTTTGAACCGTCTTGAACAATGTACATTGCTAACTAGAGAACACAGTCAAGGTAGATCTCGCCCCCCCCCCCCCCCCCCCCGTCTCCACAGATCTCGCATACGTTCACATGCTCACCACCCCTTCTAGGTCCGTCTCCAGATGCGCACCGGCAATGCGCCCAAGAACATGGTCGGCACCTTTGTCCAGATCCTGCGGCACGATGGACCCCTCGGACTCTACAGCGGTATCTCGGCCTCGCTACTCCGTCAGATGACCTACTCGACCGTCCGGTTCGGCGTCTACGAGGAAATCAAGACCCGCCTCTCCGCTGGAGGCCGCGACCCTTCGTTTCCCGTGCTTATAGGTCTGGCTGCCGGTTCGGGCTTCCTGGGTGGTATCGCGGGTAACTTTGCTGATGTGCTCAATGTGCGCATGCAGCACGATGCTGCGCTTCCTCATGCTGAGCGTCGCAACTACCGTCACGCCTTTGACGGCATGGTGCGCATGGCCCGTGAGGAGGGACCCAAGAGCATGTTCCGAGGATGGTGGCCCAACAGCACCCGCGCCATGTTCATGACGGCCGGACAACTCGCCAGCTACGACGTCTCGAAGCGCCTACTTCTCAAGTACACCCCCATGGAGGACAACCTCAAGACACATTTCACGGCCTCGTTCCTCGCCGGTCTGGTCGCTGCCACCGTCACGAGTCCCATCGACGTCATCAAGACCCGCGTCATGTCTTCGTCGCACAACCACGGCGTTCTACACCTCATTGGCGACATTTACCGCTCCGATGGTCTCATGTGGGTGTTTAAGGGATGGGTCCCCAGCTTTCTCAGACTTGGACCGTAAGTGACAACCCCTGAATGTGGTATACATAACGACTAACCTGGAGTTAGGCAAACTATTTGTACATTTGTCTTCCTAGAGATGCACAGGAACGCCTACCGCAAGGTCAAGGGCCTAGATGCTAACCTATAGACTGGGGTGGGTACGATAGATGGAAGTGAAAAAAGAGATGGGCATAAAATCTTGGCGTTAACATTGTCTTGTCACCATATATACACGGTGCATTCTCGACGGCGTTTGTTTGTTGGGCAACTCGGCTCTGTCGAGTAGGGAATAACTCACTTTTGGATACCACACTAGAGGTAGAGAAAGAGATGCGCATTAGAAGTTGTAGCATTTGAGAGAAAGAGAAAGGGTTCTTCTATCCAGGTTCATCCAGAAAACAAGAAAAGAATCCATTCTACGACCGTTGCTATGCTGTTTTTGTTTACCGTTTCAAGATTCAACCCCTGGACACCACACCCTTGATTATCGAATTGATTAACCCATTTCAAACGCCCTCTTTGAGTCCTCACTGCCACGAGGACTGTCCATAAGGTGTCGTCCCGTAAGCCGTCATCCCCCCGCCGTAGGCCGTGGCGTTGCCGCCGTACGGTGTGGTGTAGCCCCCGTCTTGCCAGGGCGTCGTGCCTCCGTCCATGTTCATATCAGGGCTCCGGGGTCCGTCGAACTCGGCCTCATCGCCTCCGTACTTCCTAGGGTCAAGACCCTTGAGGAGGCCGCCAATCTTTTGCTGCAGTACTCGGATACCGCTCTGCACGATCTGATCAGGCTCCATGCTTCCTGATGTTTCCACCTCAAAGTAGAACCGGTTGGGGACTGCATCGTAGTCAAAGGGCTCGCCTTCTTGTGGAGGGTCTTCCCACTGTGCGTATTTGCTCTTGGGCCTGATTATAGTCAGTTATGGAGTAACCACTTCCAGCCTGTCAATCTCACCATTCAACTTCAGGATCTGTGTCATTCTCGAACCACATGTCGAGATGGTGCAGCTTGTTGTGAGGATCGTACTCGAATCCGACGGCCGAGGTAGGCATCCACTTAGCGTGTTCCTTTGCGATACCCTTCTTTGCGATGCAGGTGATCTTGAGCTCTTGATCCTTGCGCAGCTTGGCGATCAGGCATCCGTAGCCCTCGGGGTCGGTGATGACGGGGCTGCCGACCGAGTTGGCGTGCCTACCGTCAACTACAAGGTCGCGGGCATACACCTTCATGATCTCGTCCGAGGTACACTTGGCGTGCAGGTTAAGAGTAACGCTGCACTGCTCGCAGTACTGCTCGCAGTCGCAGTCTCGCGAGTTGTTGAGCTCGCCCACGCCCTTGGAGTCGAGCGGGATGAGGCCCAGGCGGTGGGCGATGAACTCGTCGGCCAGCACGGAGCTGTTAATCTCGATCTCGACCAGGTCAATGGCGATGGTGGGCACCTCTGCCTGGATGACGCGCCGCAGCGCGTTGGCGAACGCAAGGTTGGTCTTGGAGAGCTCAAAGTCGACGTGCGTGTGGTCGGCCTGAGTCGCACACAATCAGCTCATGCCAGCGACTCTTTAAAAGGGATCAGTCCCATACCGCAGAGATCTTCACCTGAGGCTGCTCAGGCTCCCCGTCCATAACCATAGGATCATAGTCCATCCCGTCCATGATTGCGGCGGCGGCGGGCGCTCGCTGGATCTCGAGATTCGGTTTGTGATAGCAAGTGTGAGCGCGGTGATCGCGCAAAAGCGATATTGTAATTCGTCTATCGGTTAATCGTGATTCAGGTGCTGCTTCGTCATCAACTCGTTCAATAGATATGGCGAAAGCAGTGACAAAGAACGAGGAGAGTTTTTGCCAAGCACCTTTGGAGCGGATATGCCTGGCATTACTACAATGCGATCGAGAACTCGCAGCTCACGGAATATTACCTAATCCGGGTCTTATCGGCCTGCATGGTTCGCATTATCGCGATAAGACTGACAGAAAAAAAGTTATCCCCACCATTTGCATTGAACCAGCCTCGACAATAGGAAATATCTCCAGATTGAGAGCTTCAACTTTCACTCCAATCGATTCATAGGGGTCCCTCAATCATGAAGATCAAGGCCATCAGCCGCTCCGTGTCGGCACAGCAGGCCGCCGGCTCGGACGTTTCCAAGCAGCCCCGCAACCTCGACTCGGCGCTGCACCCCTTCGAGCGCGCACGCGAGTACAAACGAGCCCTCAACGCCGTCAAGCTCGAGCGCATGCACGCCCAGCCCTTTGTCGGACAGCTTGGACGAGGTCACGTCGACGGTGTTTACTCGATCGCCAAGGACCCCAACTCTCTGGAGCATTTCGCCAGCGCGAGCGGTGACGGAGTCGTCAAGGTCTGGGATCTTGCGGATAGGGACGAGATATGGCATGCCACGGCGCACGAAAACATCGTCAAGGGCCTCGAGTGGACTCGCGATCAGAAGCTGTTGACCTGCGCCGCCGACCGGACCATCAAGCTGTTTGACCCCTACAACACACCCAGCGACGCCTCGCCTATATCATCCTGGCTAGGATCTGGAGCCTTTACCAGCCTGTCGCATCACCGCTCAAAGAACGCCTTTGCCGCTGCTTCAAGTGTTATATCCATCTACGACCTCGAGAGGCACACCGCCGCCCCCGAGGTTCTCCGCTGGCCAACCTCGGTTGACACCATCACCAACGTCTCGTTCAACTATGTCGAGACATCGATCCTGGGGTCGTGCTCCAACGACCGCTCCGTCGTCATCTATGATCTCAGAACCTCGACCCCAGTCACAAAGACGGTCCTCAAGTTTGCGAGCAACCGCATCGCCTGGTCCCCTATGGAGGCTTTCAACATGGCTGTCGCATCCGAAGACCACAACATCTACCTCTTCGACATGCGCAAGTTTGACCGCGCCCTCAACGTCCTCAAGGACCACGTCGCCGCCGTCATGGACGTTGAGTTCTCCCCCACGGGCGAGGAACTCGTCTCTGCCTCCTGGGACCGCACCATCCGCCTCTGGAACCGCGACCGCGGTCACTCCCGAGATATCTACCACACCAAGCGCATGCAGCGCGTCATGTCAACCGCCTGGACACCCGACGCCCGCTACGTCCTCTCAGGCTCCGACGATGGCAACATTCGCCTCTGGCGTGCCAACGCGTCTCGCCGTGAGGGCATCAAGTCGGCCCGACAGCGACAAGCCCTCGAGTACAACGACTCCCTCGTCCAGCGCTACCAGCACATGCCCGAGATCCGCCGCATCCACCGTCACCGCCACGTGCCCAAGGTGCTCAAGAAGGCGGGTGAGATCAAGGCTGAGGAGATCAAGAGTATCAAGCGACGTGAGGAGAATGAGCGTCGTCACACAAAGAAGCAGTTTGAGCGAAGAAGGAATGAGAGAGAAAAGATGGTTTTGGCAACGGAGAAGTAAAAGGACACCCAAAAAGGAAACAATTTCATCCGGTTTATTGAGGATGGAAAGAGGAAAATGGGCTTGTTAAAAGGACATGATATCGCATTGCATGGCGTTCAGGTCGTCTATCTATGGGGAAAAGTAGATAGGTCCAGTTGTTTAAGAATAATACCACGAGCATTAGTGCTATATGTGTCTATATGGGTTTATAAGTGCTGGATATGTGTTCTGATCTATCTATGCCACTTTAATTATATATATATATATATATCTCATACGATTCAATACTTTTACATCTATGTCAGAATCATGGTTATCACAGATGAAACTATTTAGAAGCAGAGAAATATCATTCCCTCAGCTATCAAGTCTAAACATCAAAAGATCCCAGTTGATCAAACACTAAAAGCTTCATGTTTCCCTTGCATGAGCGGCATGTCCGTCTCGTCTGCTGTGAGCGTCGCGCTGAGTGTCTATTTTCATCCCATCCCAATTCCAAAACAAGAATCACTCATGTCAATCCTTTCGTCGCCCAGCGGCGAGGAGGCAATGGGGATAAAAAACACATGTCGCAACGCCACGGATCGAGAGTCTCAACTGTCAAACACCATGATACAGTTGTAACACGACTCTCATACCAGAACCGCCCCAGACTCAATTTCAAATCATCATGTGAATCCCTGACAATGTCAAACGCCCAAAAAACAAAAAACAAATGCCGATGCGGAATGTGTCACGCTATCGGAGGTATCTCTATATCAATCGAACGGAAAACGCCAGCCCCGTCTTTGTTTTGTGTATGTCGTCGTTGCCATTCCGTTCCATTGATAGTGTGGATAGTCCCTCCTTGGCGCATCATCATCAAAATGCCAAGTCAAGTCCGTTAAAACGCCGTAAGAAAGACGAGTTTCGACAAAGGAAAATCCCAGTAACCGTGTCGGAAATTAGTAGGTAGGTGTTGTCGCCGTAATAGTAGTACACGCCGGACAGATCCGGCGAAATGGGAGGAAATGTGAAGGTGCCGCTGACTTAGATGCTGTTGCGGGCAGTCTTCTGCGGCTTGTAGTTGGGCAGCTCGTCGAACCAGCCCAGCTCTTCGTTGTATCGGAAGGCATGGAAAGCAATGCCATAGGGCTTGGGCTCGATCGAGTAGAGCATGCCCAGAGGGACATCCATGTCCGTAATGTCCGCCAGAGACAGGTCCATAAAGTAGGCCATCAAGACCCTACAGACGGATCGGTGTCCAATGATAAGGAGGTGATCCTCGATGCGCTCAACTTCTCGGACCATGTCGCGCAGGCGGCTGACAACCTGAAGGTATCCCTCGCCGCCGACGCCAGGGTAAATGTAGTTGAGCTTGTCCTTCGCCCGTTTGGCGTACTCCTCGGGCTCCTTCTTGGCGATCTCGGCATACGTCATACCCTCATATTGACCCGCGTTCATCTCGTTGAGCATCTCCCAGTTCTTGACATCATAATCGTCATCGGCCTCAAAGTATTCGGCCGTGTCCACGCTGCGCTCAAGCATCGATGTCCAGACACAAAAGTTCTTGTCCTCCAGTTCGCGGTTCATCTCGGGGTAAGGAGGAGTGTTGTCACCAGGCACAGGTGGGAAAGTAGCCTGAGCCATCTTGCTCTTCTGCTCGGTAAGCCAGTGCTTACGCTGGTAGGTAATAAACCTGTGAAGAGCTTGTCCATAGTAATGACCTCGCTCGGTCAGGGGCGAGTTTCCGCCCAGTCTTCCAAGCTCGTTGTCAACGCTCTGGCCATGTCGAGTAATCCAGATTTGTCGAGGCGCAAGGTTGAAACTGGCAAGGTATGTGCTAATACCGTTGCTCAAAAACCCCTTCAAACGATGTTGCACCAGTTTCCGGCCAACATCAATCATCTAAGAGGCAGTTAGCTACTAATCCAAGGATTTGTGCAATGAATTGGGCATACCTGAATGTACTGCATGTCGTGGGCCTCCTCGTACTCGCCAAGGGGCACATAAGCACTCTCGTAGGCAGCGACTCGCTTCTTGAAGTCGTCCAGAGACTTCTGGGGGTCCTTGTCGCGGTAATCAGGACCCGACAGCTTCAGCCGCATGTTCGCCTCGAGCAAAAGAGGGTCTTGGCAGATACTCTCAATGAAGAGAATACCCAGCTTGGGCTCCCGCCTCTTGATGCGGTTGACAAGGTTTTGTCTCCGCTCAATGGTGCTGTTTGTGGCGTCGAGAATGCCAACAGCACCACCATGAAGGAGCAGCCAATCCAGCAGCTCATCCAGGGTGTCCATGGCACACTGCTCTCTCATAGCAGCGGCCTTCTCGTTCTTTGGATCAAAGAATTGAGCCGATTGATCCATCTCCGCCTTTTCCTTGATCACAGAGTCGTTGAGGTCAAGCATCTCGGGCTCGGTCTGCTCGGGAGACAGCGGCGGGGGCGCGGGCACGCCATTGAGCAGGATTGAGGCGGCGTGGACGGGAGGATCGAGGTGGCCGGGCTCTGGGAGCAGCTTGGGATGCACAGGCACCTTGCGGCCAGCGGCCACACGTCTTCGGTTGCCAACATTAAAAATTCTTGAATCGTGCTGCTGCCAGGATAGGTATCGCTGGAGCTTCTTTGTGATGTACGACTTTCCTCGAGCTGGCAGACCGACCATGATAATAACAAGCTTGGCGGCGACATCGCGGTGGGGGATTCTTCCGTCAGGCGAGACCCTCGACCGGGTCATGCCCGGGATGTTGAGCGTTGTGGCATGCGGTCGCACTCGAGGTGTTTGGCTGCCCGAATTCTGTCGCAAAGGTGGACTATTTCCGTGTGTCAGCGCGGGGGAGTTCATCCAAAGCGGGATCGTCGGTGCTAATAGGGCCGAAGTCGGTGGATTTGTGACTCGCGACTCCGAGGGCTTTTTTCAAAAATGACGGCACTTACATGCGTGGCGAGCTGGGCGCTGTGGATGTGACGCTACGCGCATATGTGGGGGTCTCGGTCAAATCGTTCATCGCTCGCAGGGCCACAGCCAGAGAGGAAGGCTGGTTGCTCGGAGGGGGTAGGTGGTCATCATCGATGGTGGGAGGAGGTAGGACGGCGTAATTGTGCGAATGCGATGAGGGATCTGACGTGGGAGGAAGAGAATCGGACTCAGGCGCTGATGTCGGCGCAGCTGACGAAGACGACAGAGCGGGCGAGGACGATGGTGAAAGGCCGAGCAGACTATGCATGACAAACTTGGCCAGTGCAGACTGTTTTGATTGTTTACGACCCGCGTCTAAATGGATGAAAAGGTGAGTATTATTGTTCTGTGTATCCGGACGATAGACGAGAGTAGACTTCGTCTCGCTGAGTGTGGGTGGTGGAGGAAACTCGATTGGGGAGACAGGGGGTGATGATGGTAACAAGGGTTGATGTGATGGAAGAAAAATGTTGCGTAGTATTCTTGGTTGATCGTTTGGAGTTTGGCAATATATGAGGAGAAGAAACAAAAGTCAGATGGAAGGAAGGGAAGGTGCAGAGTGGAAGGATAATAAGGACGAAGCTTCCGCGGTGCAAGGCAAAGAAACAAGGAGTGAACACAGCAACACTGCACACACAACGTCTGGAAAGCTACATGGGTACGTACCTGCTGGGGTGACGGGAACCTGGACTGCTGAAGGCATCTTTTCTGGGTATCAAGGGAGACTCGGCGCTCAAAGCCAAGTCCAAGCACTGAGCGATGAGTCGTACTCTCTGGGAGGGCAACCACTGAGAGTGGCTGGCTTGTCCAATCCAGCTGCAGGGATTACGGTCCCAGCGAACCTAGCCTGACTTTGCTGGGAGGGAATGGGGAGGGCGTGGTGTTTAGGCGCAGCGCGCAGTGGGCCGCACCTCAGGGATCCCGTCCTGGGCTGTCTGGTCTGGTCTGGTCACAGTGGCTGCTCAGGGCTCCTCAGTGGGTATTTGCCGTGTGTTTCTTGGAGGCTGCGCTAGGCTGTGGGCAGTCTCACAGTGGATTCGATGAAATGGATGTGATGCAGCGAAGCGCGGGGGGGAGCAGTAGGTGGCGTCTCTGTTCTGTCGGGGCGCTCGGGGCGTCCTGTTTGGGTGCCGCTGCCGGAGGCCTAGCTGCGAGCTGACTGCAATGGATGGAGCTGGAAGAGGCTTTGGTGCCTTTCGATAGTGGACTCGGTGGTGCCGTCCAGTGGAGAAGTTTGTAGGACCCTAAATGCGTAGCTAGACTCGCATGGGAAGTTGGGCTGTTGATAAAAGGTTTGAAGTGAAAAGCCGTCAACAGAAGGATTGGTTAGACGGGCACTTTTCCACGTTGGGGAATTGTTGAGTCGAGCTTCGATCGTCCAAGCCCTTGCCCTAGATATTGTCGGTGTCGAGAGTCAAGAAGAAAAAAAACTGTTGATGAGTCGATGGGTTGCTTGTTGCCTCGACGTGTACCAACCAAGTACGCAACGTTGCTGTGTATGTGCTGTTCGATGCGGTCTGCCTCGTTTTCCTCTGCTCTGAGCTAAGGTCCTATTCTTGTCGATTGATTTCTCGTACAGCTTGGCACACATATGATACCAGAACGGTCGCGAGATGTCTCGTTTCGTTTCTTTTTCTTCTCTTCCTCTTTTCTTGTTCCTTTCTTTGCTGGTCGTGTATGAATGCGATACGTCACCACTTCAGGCTGTGCTGCCCGTCAGAAGGGGACCCCCTTCTGCAGGTCAGGAAACCAGAGGCAGATAATATAGTGCCAGCCTCGAAGGCTGTTGCTTGGGTATTCGGTTGCCCTGACGGGGGTCGCTAGGGTTGACCAGCGATATCAGGAGAGCGACGAGGCAATGTGAGGTGATGTGAGGTGGGCGATGGTCCGTGTCGGGCGGTTATGGATGACCAGGAGCCCAGGTAAAAATATGTATGGATGCCAGCAAGCAAGCAAAGCAACGCCCAAGGCTGCCGTCAAGATGGAGGATGCGGAAGAAGCATTGGTAATGGCTTCAAGGTTTCAGGCAAGGTCCTTGGACCAAACTACCCTCCATCCATACCATACCTATCTCCCTCCGTTTGACCCTTTTCGGAGCGTGAGGTGTGTGTCTGCTGCCATCCATAGCTGCCATTAGCTTTGCAGGTGCCGCGCTGGGCTCTCGTGGACTCGCTGTGGCGCCGCATCCATTCAATGGATGGATCCTGGCACAGGCCGACTTACATCATTGTACGTTGGCAAATCTCATCCACTGCATCCCACATGCGTCGGTCCCGTCCCTATACTCAGGTACAGTCACGGCACTGCGGAATTCATCCAGATCTCAAGTCGCATCTACCTTGACCCCCTTATCGCTCGTATAATGGTACCTATACCCCTTTGACCAGCGCACGTTCCGCACCGGCGATGGGTATAGGTTCATGCTATCAATGAGATGGGGTGGTTCAGGCTAAAGTGAAGAAGAAAATGACAGACCTAGAGATATCGCCCCCCCCAAAGATCACCCCGGGTCCCGAGATCCACGGTGTTCCCGTCCACCTGGGCCTCCCTTACCTCATGGCTCCAATTCAAAGGAAACATGTACTATTACCGAATATCCCACGACATGGCATGTTTGGTATCCATGGCACGGTGAGCTTGCTGGCAGGCAACACAGCTGCTTCATACATCTCACGGCATCACAATTCCGGCAAGATGCTTGATGGATGCTCCCCGCGCCCATCGGATTCGCCCCGTCAACTACGCCGTAAGGGACCCCCATCCAAACCCCCAGGCCGGCGGCCGAGTTTGTGAGTGACTCGGATTCTCTGGTCCGCGGGCTTCCCCCAACTGGAATCCCCAGGTGTGAGTTTCTGTGTCTGTCCCAGGAGAGCAGGAGCAAGACCCCCAAATTTCGCCAAGCGTCTGGATCAACCTGGCAAGAAACCCTTGGCCAAGACCTGACCTCAAGGGACACCATCCCCGGCTGGGTCACCACGGTGGCGCGGGTCCATGAGCCCATCCATCATGGCTAGCTCCCTCCACGCCGCCCATTAACTGGACCCCGAACCCCTGTTCTGCCCTAAACTCACCGAGACGCTGGGCCGCGCCAACATTTCGCCTGCCGCCTCACTCACCCTCCTTTCGCTTGCGAGTCGTTGTCCATGTCTTGTCTGGTCTGAAGCTGATGATGAGGAGGGGGGGCTTGGGAATTGATCATCATCATCGCCCTCCTTTTCAAAGCCCCAGATGACATACGACATGGTGCGTCAGTCGACACACTAGATGACAATCTTACTGGGACACATGGACACGACAACTGTTTTATCGATTTGGGGGTAAAGAGGCAGTCTGAGGCGACGGTGGAGTTTGTTTGACTCGTTACAATTCCAACCGACGCAGGTCTTTTTTTTTTTTTCTGCGACCGCCTATGCATTGGACGAGCCTAATGAAGGTTTCAATCTGTTCGCAGCATGCAGAATGCAGCCAGGGCATCCTAGACCCATTCTCCAGAATGAGTGGCATCCATCTTCCACCTCCATCTTGACCGTGGTGTGCTGAATCTAGGCTATATTGAGTCAAGCCTCGGTGGCTATTCTGCCAAAAGTTGCAGCGCTACTGCGGTCCAAGACCTTCCTTCCAGCAACTGGAAGCTCTAACCTGGCCTCAGCTCTAACAATCGCAAACTCCATAAAGAGTCATTGCTGCTAGCCTCCGATCTCGCCAGCCAGCTGCGGGGTGTATCCGTACAAGAGTGAGTAAAACCCAAAGGGGGAGAGAGGGGTTGGTTGCATGAGAAGAGGAAACAAAGCGACCTGAATCTCCACCGCTATCTTGTGTGCCATGTCTCTGCGGTTAAAATTACCTTTGAGGTATTCGTAACACCAAGATGAGGCGTCGTGCAGCGAAGCGCCTCTTTTCCTCCTGCAGGTGAGAGAGCTTCAAGGCTGAGTCACCCTCTCAGCTGCTCCTGTTGTTGTTGTTGTTGTTGTTTCTGCTGTTGTATTTCAGGCTCATTGGATATTCTGCCTCCAGCCTCAATGCCACATGCAAGGAATTGTCAGACTGCCGGAAGTATGTTTCCTTTGTCCGCCTGCCTTGCATTGGTGGTGCAGACAGGAGTACGGATAATGCCACAGTCATCTCGCATGCCCGCAGCCTGCTGTCCGTCCAATGCATGCATCCTCCTCACATCCCTTTTTTTGGCTTCTACCACAGAGTACGAATCATTGCTACCGTTGCTTCTCGTGGGCTCGGAAGCCAGTCGCCTTAGTCTCCGTGGTGCACTGGCCCTGGAATATCGTTCGAGCAAAACTCCAAAGCATCGATATAGTACGAGTTTTGCTGCGTCCCGGAAGCCTGGTCGTTGTCCTTGCCCGCTTGGGTTTCAACACGAGTTTATGACTCCCAGGCTCACGGACTTTGTTGTTCGTCTGCCGGCCGTATTCCCCTTTTGCCCTTACTTGCTTTTTCCTGCGGGACGATGGGCGATGGCAGGTTAAGGGATCCTTGGCGAGCGTTTGCTGGACTTTGTTGTCAATTCGCATGTTCCGGCGGCACAGACCAATGCCCGAGACGCGGGGATCTTCCCGATAGGCCGTTCTATTGTTGCTCATCTTCCCCCTTGTTCGATTCTTTATTGACGGAGCTGGATATCATGTGATGCCGTCGCAACGTATCCGTCCGCTGTCCAGTCAGTCTTATTATTATTCCATGTCGCGGTGAGCCTTGGTCAGCAATACGCGGTACCATGCCCAGCAACAAACCTGCAAGCTCTTTACAGCCAACGTCAGCGGTACTTGACAATTCCCCGGCGGCTGAGACCATGTCTTGGTAGGCCTCCAAGTGATCAGGACTTGGGTCCTATAAGTCATGTGTCTCATGTTAAAGAGCGTGATCAACAGTATGGCCATTCTTACATCAATATTGAACATGTTCAGTGCCATAGCAAACAACTGCCGTTTGAGGGTCGAGGTTGGCGAGCATCAAAAGCGCGGATGCGGATGGCCTCCGGTGGACATCCCATGCTAGGGTCAGAGATCCGTCCGTACCAGGAGCCTGGCGAACTGGCTAGACTGGCACTAATCCCCGGGGCCCAAAATCCGTGATGAAACAGCTTATTGCGTCGGGGCGTACCCAGCTAGGCTGTGTAGGCGATATCGACTGATATGATGGCGGATATCAATCGAGAGGGGCAACTGGTCTCATCTGTTTCCACCAGGCTGAAGCCGCCGTGAAGCAACAGTCCATATCCCACGGACTGGGCGATTGGGGGCGCCTTACGGTTGCCCATTTGGAGACCTCGCTTGGGCGTCAATGCCCAAGAGCCCATCCATCTCCCCATCCGTTCTTCACAAGCTGGGCAACCCACACTCTGTCGGCTGTGATGGGACATGCACCGGCGCGGCGGAACCAGGTGCTTTGTGCGGAGAATGACACCTTCTCCGCACGATCAAAGACGGAGATGCCAGAAGGAGAATTACCTCAAGAGGTAGAAGGATCATCTGCACCCCGCGATGGCAACCCTCTCAATCCCTTGATCGTGAGATTGGGGAATGTATCTCAGCGAAAAGAGCCGGTCCAGGGTGCGATGTGCGGTGGGGAGACGCGGGGTTGGTTATGACCTGTTCCATATGTAGGCCGAGGCGGAACAGTCATCGCGGAGCCGTTGTCATGTGTCCCACGGGGTGGTTAATATCAAAATCGAGTTCCGAGGTAAGGCTGATGACATTGTCGTCATGATGTGCTTTCTGATGCAACTCTTGGTTGGGACTTGTCATGACATTAACCTGCTGTCACCTACCGTTGGAGGATGACAATGCATTCAGGTGGCTCGTTCTTTGTGTTCGTCCCTGGTACTACGTCAGTAATGTATACACAAGTCCAAAAGAGCAAGCAGGCCATCGTTTGTCAGAAACTCATGATGCATCTGAAAAATACGTGGGTGTTGAAAGCTGAAAGCTCGAATATCCATTGTCCTTCCGGGTAAGCGTGTGTGCATGTGTGGCTTGAACGCACAAGCCAAGCCACTCATGCAGGGTCTTCGCCACACCAAGGCCCACACGACAGAACTCATCCTCACAGACAACCGGGATACAAGACATCGAGAGAGCATCAAGAGCCAGAGTCAAAAGCGATCAGGGCATGCTGACAAAGTAATCTCACTAACTGCAGGAAGTGTCCGAAGGGAGAGGAACTGGGTGTCAATTCTTACTGAAGCTGCTCGCGGTCGCAAAAAGGTTCTGTTTGTAGCAGGCCTTTTCAAGATTCTGCCTGCGCAGTGAAAGGTGAACTCTTACATGGGAAGTTGAGGTAGGTGACTGGCAAGTTTGCTTCTGAACCGAAGAACACCAGCAGAGGAATACCTGTCAGCTTATCGATAAAGCGAGGCATTTGTCGTTGGTGGTTATTACAGATATTTCCCCAGCAATATCTGCCAGTTACCGCCACTGTCAAGGTCAACTTGCCCACGATATCAACCCAAGCATTCGTATCGGACCCAAACGATAACCCCGCATCAGCATCACTGGGATCGTCAAACACTCCCGTCATTATTACCTGGATTTAAACAAACTGAACCGGCCCTCGACCCTGCTCCTGCAAACCAAGGCCGTCCTTGAAAGGCGCAGTGAAAGAGTGAGTGCAATCCACGAATGAATGACCTTGCAATAAACGCAGTTACTGACTCTCCGACAAGCAAAGAATAAAGAGGAAGCTTCCGAAAGACTCAAGCGGGGGTGAGATATTGTGACGCGCACCTGCTTCCCAGCTCAAGAGCGCACCTTCTCTCGTTCGACAAGTCAACGAGCCAGAAGTCGTGGCCAGAACCACCATCTCTAAACACGTACGGCTCTCCCCAAACACAAACCTTACAATCTGCTTTTTCTCGAGGAACGATTCTTCATCCAGCCATTTTGCCGCTCTTTTCGCCAGCATCTTCGCACCGGCTGCGCTAGCTGCTTCGCTGCATTCACTCGCCTTCCAGGTGCTTCACAACATCCAAACGTAGCCATCGCACACGTAAGTCTAGAATGTGACCAGAGCCATCACTGCCGTTGACTGATTATAGAACACAGCTCGCCTGCTCCAGAGCCGCCTTCTATCCTCACACAGAAAATGACCACCCCTGATCCAGCTGTCGAGGCGGCAGCCGTCGAGGTCTCGCCTGCCCAAGAGGGAGTCGAGACATCGCAGCCCACCAAGCCCGAGATTCGTGGGCCTTCTGAGATTGCTCCGAATGTTTTGATCGACGATCTCATAAAAAGTCACACCAACCGCGGCGTTTTGATTCCCCTCAAAACAACACAGGAAGTCCGACAAGACCACACCATCACTCATGCCTTCATTACACGAGCGCCCACCAAGCAGGCCAACGAGGTCATCACGTTCGTCCACCTTGACAGCCAACTGCACCACCATGCGGCGGCTCAAGATGACGGTTGCTGACAATCCTTAGGGCTTTGCGTAACATGCGACCTGATGATAGCGCTAACCCCCTACCTCATCTTCGCAGATGCGCCAAACCTGCAGATCTTCCCGCCCATCTCAAGACACAGTTCATGAACGACACCTCAGTCGGTCGTCAGATCCACACGGCCAAGTCAACGTGGATATATATCATTGTCGGAGAGGTCAAGGACTTCACCCGAGAGGAGCTTTCTATCGTATTGTCTCCCATCGAAGGCATGGAGCAAGACCTCTTTATCGAAAAGATCCCTATCCCGCTCCTCGCACCCACATCTCAGGTTCAGGCCGCCATGTGGTCTTCCCAGTTTTGGCCTACGGTTTACCGAAAGAACAACCCCCTTGGCCCACACCCTAGCATGGTGGCCCGCGGAACTGAGGAGATCAAAGAAGATGCCTCTGTTTGGATGGCGCTGGCACACCGCGTCGCTCTGCAAGCCAAGGAAGCTGGAATCGGCGAAGCGATGGGTGCTGTGATCGTCCAGAGAGATGCGGGCAAGGTTGAACTTGTTGGACTTGCTGGAGATGCTCGCCGACACCAGGAATGCGGCTTGCTGGATGGCACCAGCAACCCCATGACACACTGCGTCGTCCGTGCTATTAGCATGGTGGCCCAGAAGCTAGTCAGGCACGAAAGAAGGGCTGCTGGTCTGCCTGTACAGACGCCCAATCTCGAATACGATGCCTTCCAGGACGGCCCGCTTCTCGAAATAGAGAAGCAATGCTTCGAACAGGAACACCCGAACAAGGACGGATACCTTTGCCACGGACTAGAGCTCTATGTCACGCACGAGCCCTGTGTTTCATGCTCAATGGGCATTCTTCATTCTCGAATGGGCAAGGTCGTGTTTGCCACGCACATGCCTCGCAGCGGAGGACTGAGCTCGGATGATCGTCCGGATGGAGGTGGACGAGGACTGGGGCTCTTCTGGAGACGAGAGCTCAACTGGAGCTTGATGGCGTGGGAATGGGAACGTGACGGCGTTCCTGACCTGCCCTCTGTTGAACCCATCACTCATGTTTAGGATTACCACCTCCTCGGTCGATATGAGACTCGTCAGCTCGGCGGATTCAGGCACGATGCTGGACCAGTCACGAAACGAAAGAAGACGGAGCTCGCGAAGAGCATTGATAGAGTATTACGCATTACACGATGGCGGCCATGTACCATGGCTATGAAACTGGAGGGCATAATTACCCCCTGGTGGCTGGTGGGGTATGCTGGTTGGACCTGGCTGCAGCTGGTGCGTTGGCTGGAAAGCAAACAAAGGATTTAGATAGTCCTTTATGTCCCAGGTGAGAAGTCGGATTACGGACGTTGGCGGCGGTATTGTAACTATGTATGGATTTGGAATGGGTACAGGCATGGGGGAAGCCTTGGACGAGTTGGCCGCGGAATGCGGAGAAGCACGCACACTGGCAGATTTAATCAGATACGACGATGCATCAATTGACTTTTGCTTGCTGACTAGAGTGCCCCAGAAAGAGAGATTTACATGTGGTCTATGGAAGATGACGGCAATGGGTGCGGTGCGGGTTGAGACGGAGGGATACATACAGTACCTAGCCCGTGTTAGTTGGGTGAACCCTTGCTCCTGTCTGTGGTGCCCCTCTTTCCTTGACGGGGATCGCAAGGCGCCAGTCGCTCTCTCGCTCGCTGGACTCTCTCTGCACTGCACCTCTTTCTTTCCGTCCGTCTTTCTTTCGCAACCCCCCCCTCCCTCTCGTTCTGCCTCTGCTTGCATCGCGCGGCTAGACGCACCACAAAGAAGCTCGTATCGGCGTGGGTCTTTCAGCTCAAGACAAGCAGAGGCGGCTCTTTGTTCTGGTTCCTGTCTTTTTTGGCCCGCCCTCTTATCGATCACGGTGCTGTGGACAACCCGCCATGCACTTCCTTTGACTCTATCAACGCCGTCTTCAGCCTCGTGCGACGACCCTTTACCGCGGCACTTCTTGCACCACTCCCGTCGTTCCCGAGTACGGCTTCACGAGCACTATCAAAGGATCTCGGCGCTATTGCGACCGACATATAAACGCCTCATTGGCGCCGGCTGGGTCGCAGGAGCATGCACCAAAAAGAAGGCATATCGACCTGTCGATTTTCACCTTTCTCAACGCCCCCACTATCACAACCGCCGATCAACGCAGCAGCAGCAGCAGTAGCGATAGCATCAGCCACGCGGCTTTCCAATACCAAGAACTTATCGAGATGAATAAGAAGCGCAGTGCCCCCGGGGCCGTGGTTGCCTCTGCAGGCTCCTCGTCCAAGAAGCGGAAGATAGACGGTGTGCAAAAGTACTACGCAGTCAGAGCTGGGTTCAACCCCGGCGTCTACTTGACCTATCCCGAGTGCCAACAGCAGACATCGGGATTCAGAGGCGCAGTCTGTGAGTATATCTGGTGATATCAGACCCAGAGGACCATCCTACTAACCCTTTATGTGTTCTAGTCAAGTCGTTCGTTTCGAAGCAGGATGCCCTGGACTTTGTTGCCGGCAAGAAGGTTGCCTCTACGTCCAATGAGCCCGACAAGTTCTACGCGGTCGCCGTGGGCAACCCTACGGGTATCTATACGGACTGGGCCGAGGCCTCGGAAGCTATCAAGGGCATAAAGGGTCCCAAGTATAAGCGGTTTGCGACACGGGCAGAGGCAGTTGGATATATCAAGCAGTTTGGCAACAAGGAAACCATTGATGCTCTGGGGGAGGAGGGACGATCGTACCCGGAGCCAGAACAACAGCCAAGATTCGAACTTAAACCCGAGGAGGCACCGGCCAAGAAGACCAAGGCGGTCCCGGATGAGGTTCCTGGCTCGGGGCCTGTGGAGGATGTTCTCAAGATCTACACCGACGGTAGCAGTCGCGCCAACGGCAGAACCAGCGCTCGCGCTGGACTGGGCGTCTACTTCGGAGACAATGACAAGCGTAACCTCTCGGAGCGGCTCCCCGGCCTACCCCAGACGAACCAACGAGCTGAACTGATGGCCATATTGCGAGCACTCCAGATTGCACCCCTGGACCAAGCTGTCCAAATCTTCACCGACAGCCAATACTCAATCAAATGCGTGACGCAGTGGGCGCGGAGCTGGGAGGCCAAGGGCTGGAAGACAGCCAATGGCGCAGAAGTCAAGAACCAGGACATCATCCGGCAGCTCCTGGCCAAAAAGAGAGAGCGGGAAAAGGCTGGAGGCGCAACCTACTTCGAATGGGTCAAGGGGCACGCAAGCAGCCGAGGTAATATCGCGGCGGACAAGCTCGCCGTCGATGGAGCCGATTTGAGTCCTGTCTGATGCCACAAGCTGCTCTCTAGGGAGGGAATGGATGGCTCGTGTATATGACAAGTGATTGAAGAAACAAAAAATAAGGGGAGTCGGACATGTGTTGTATGGAGCATATCGATGTCACGGTCTTGCGTCTGTCTTTCAGAATCGAGGAGTCTAGCGGTTTACCTGTGGATATGGAGGCGCTGTTACTCCATGCCGTCTTGTTTATTTTTGCTTGTTCTTGGGAGTTTCTTTCGTCCAGATCGATCTCTGCTCTTGTTGCTGATTCCGTTATCTTTTCATGTCAAAATATCATGATACCTGCCTACTACATGCGTTCTGCTGATGGATTAGCTCCGTGGAAACAAGAACTGAACTTGAGTAATTGCGTGAATGGTCTTTTAGCAAGTGTTGTTAACTACTTCGGTGTTTTTTCTTTGTAACATCTGAGCACAAGTGGTGAGTGTATTTTATATCTCTATGAGAACTGCGGAGAAGATAGTGGTTCCGGAGGCGTCTAATGCATGATAGCACAAGTTGGACAAGTACGAGACCGTTACAACTCATCACATCTCACCATCTCTCAAGAGATTAACTAGGGGCTCATGGAACGGCACGACATGAGGCTACGGTGCTCCGGAACGAGGATCCGGAAGCTGGTGACGCTTGGCCCGCGGGCGTGAGACGTAGATCATGGATTGTGCTTTGACATTGACAGCGGATTAACGTGACAACGGGCGGCTAAGTGCAGTATCGAGATGGTCTTGGGAGGGTCCATGACAAGCCCCGAGGGTATTTGGATTGGACTAGGATGAGAAATGCACAGTCATGGAGTGGGCAAGGTAACTTATGTTAGCCTCTATCTATTCTGGGGCATCGAACGAGGTGGCTGACGGAAGATGGGTAAGCTTCTCCTGGTGCCGTCCACGAACTTGAAGGGAAAAATAGACTTTGGGCTAGGTTTGACACGCAAAGTCTAGAATTGAGATATTTTCCCAGTTGCTGCTTTGCCCTGAAGAGCAAAGTCGAAGACGATCAAGCACAACGGTCAAGCACACGAAAATGTCTTCGGAAAGGTTCATGTCCCCCCCCCCCCCTCCTCCTCCCGCCGCGGGGGGAAACAAGTTGGAGCTAGAGGCGGCCCGAGTTTTGTCTAGATCGGGCCGTTGACAAAGATCGGAGGCGAGGAAGAGAAAAAAAATTAGGCAAGATAACGAACGAGCAAGTCGGTTTGAAACCCGAGACATTTCAAGGGACTTTTCCAAGTTAAACTGTAAGGGTAAGGATATGGCATCATGAAGCTAATAGGCTAGGGTGATGTCAGAATGACTGCGAGGGAACGCCCCTTTGCTGCAGAACCGAGTCAATTGAGAAAAGTCTTGGTGAGGTGTTTTTTTGTTTTCCTTGCTCGATCGAGGGTTTCGCCGGGGGTGGACCGTTGATGGATGGAGGATTGATGAAACTTTGGACGAAGGAGGTCCGGTATCGAAAGTTGACGTTGTTAACTGTAGTTGCTAGTCAAGCCCAACGGATAATACGAATATGACCCGGTACTGCAGAATCGTGATCGAGGTGATAGAGATAACCGACGTCACATCCTCGCGTCCGGATCCGAGGCAATACAGTAGCAGAGTTGCAACGGACAGCTTTCTGGGAGGTGGCAACACCACACTTTCTCACTCGTTCAACTCTCCTGGGCGTTGAGGCTGCAAAGACGCCCCGGGTTAGTGTCGTTCGGGAGGTTGGCGAGGTATGTGTGTAAGTGCGCCTCGTGGGTCGGGATCATATCGCAATCTCTCGGATAAGTTACGCAGAGAGAGCCAGCCCACGGAGATCTGCCGGGCGAGGTTCCATTGTGGCTCAACCGGTCAAGAGTGAGTTCCAAGGGACAAGCTGTTCTCTCGTCTCGTTTAAACGTCCATGATTCGATCTTGGCGATGGCGGTGTTGGCTGTTGGTGGTTCTCTATCTAGATGTGCTCAGCGATCTGGCCCAAAGGCTGAGACATTGGTAGCATGTTTTTGTGTAATGAACAAGTCGTGTAATGGGAAAGGAAAAAACGGCTCGTGTCTCAGACTAAAGGCATTTGCCGAGTGTCTCTGCGAGAAGAAAAGGGACGGCATTGACAAGAGACATCTAGATAGCAAACACCAAAGAAGCGGTCTCGAGACGCAAGCTGAAGACATTCTCGTACGCCACAAGACAACGGTTACGAGTGATGAGCCCTGACGGACCAATCTTTGTTGAGAGTTTCGGCGTCTATCAAACATGGACAACAAAGACGTCTCCGAAGCAAGGGCGCCAAGCCGCGCGCAGAAGAAGAATCCCGAACCTGGGACGCCCGCACGTTGTGGCATGGCAGGATGGAAATGGATGGACGGGTTTTGATATGTGATTGGCTCCTCTTACGCCTTTGCACGACGTGAGAGGAACACACCATCTCTTTTGCTCCCGTTGCAGCTTGGCTATCAGGAATGGGGTTGTATCAGAAAAGGGACGCAATGAGGCTATACGCAAGGGGTGGGAGGGGGCAGAGACAGCATGAGCGTGGTGGCGGTCCCGAGTGGCGGCCCGTGGCATTTTGATATCCCACACCCAAGAGTAGAAGACAAAAGGGTCTCGTTTTCCCGAAGAGGAGAGAGTTTCGCCATGGCAGCCAATCTACCAAGGCAGAGAGATAAGAGAAGAGCAAAGAGGGCTTTTGGGGCGCAGAGTGTGTCAGACTCTTGATTAGCCCTTGACAACCTAACACAACCCCCCCCCTCAGGTGTGAAGCAAAGCAAGCCATGGAACCTACCTTGCGTACCTGAACTGAGAACGTCAGAGAGGGTTCCAGTTCTGAAAGAAAACGTGGGATGGCAAATGGACATTGTGTCCTCATTGAATGAGATTCCCACCCTCGACAAGACAACAAAAACGTCACTGTCATCAATTCGTCCGGCGGATGACACGGAAGGCCGAGGGATTCATGACCAGGGCCCAGCTTGCAGTTTGTTGAGTTGTAGAGTTACGTCCCCGATTTCCTCTTTGGGACTCCTACTTAGGTGGGCAAAAAAGCCTGGGGAAAGCTGGAGAAGGCTCTCGGCTGAAGAGTTGCGAAGGGGGGGGGGGGCTGATGTGTTTGAACTGGGGCTGGTGAGATTGGGAGGGCCAGAAACGCCTCTCGACAAGAGGCACACTTGCAATTGAGGCTTGAATCATGGTGATTCGCCCCGTGTTAGTCGGTGACTCCAGGGGAATGGGAAGGGGGAGTGAGAGGCGATCCATTGGATCTACAGGGTCTTTGGAGGGTGGAGGATGTCTCCAAACCAAGGACAAGTGTGTGTCTCAAACTCCACTTGCACACAAAGATCTGTGTGTATGTGTGCGTCACGGAAGAGTTTCTCTTGAGAAGAAACAAGAAACAAGAAATAACACGGTGGCATTATACGGGAGGCACGTTGATGTCGACATTGGTGGTCCACGGGGATGCCCGGGTGTGTCCTCCTGATGGATCATGTTCCCGTGGGAAGCGCCTCGGCGGCGTCGCGTGCGTGCGAGGTGTGAATGGTAATGGCGCCGAGTGCACGGCAGCCTGCACTAACAGGGCCGTCGTAGTTGGGTACCATTCGACTCTGTCGGCACCACTTCTAGAGTCGTAGCGCTGTACCATCTGAAAGCTAAGGCCCGGGTGAAAAGTAATCGACCGGGAGTCTTGACACGTCCAATCCGTCGGTGGCCGGAGGCCGAGATACGCCGTCTCCTGGCCGTTGGGGAAGTAATCTTTGAATTGCTGCTGTTGTAAGAGTCACAGACAAAGCTTGCGTAATACGTGAGGCCTCGCTGGCTGTTGTGCTCAATACAGGGATTGATGAAGGAGCCCCCGCTCTCAGCAATTTTGAAGAGCAGCAGCAGGTTAATCTTGCTAGCAGAGATGAATGAGTGTCATCATCAGGGCAGCGAAAAAAGAAGGCCAGATGAGATTGGATTGGCCACCCAATATCCCGACGGAGCTGCCCAAGCAAGCAAAGTACCGACCTCCTCCTATTGTTCGGGGGTCCATCCAGATTGCGTGTTTTGAGTTGTGTTTATCAATGTCGGTCTGGCTCACATTTTGTCTTTCGCCAATGCTAGGGCATTATCAGTGTGCAGCGGCGACAGGAGGCAGTCGAATCCAAAATGGATAGGATGGATGTAATGTGGATGTACAGACACGCAGGTTCAGACGTGCATTGGTACCTGGCTGCATCGCATCCATCCTCTAGATTGCACCATGAAGTGGCCGGTGTGTGTCTCTGCGAGGGAGAAAAGACTCGACAGAGAGGGACCGGCGCACAAGCCCGATACGTGCGAGACCGGACTTTAGCACCGTGCGGAGTGCCCTGCAGCGTACCAAACTCTCTGTGCGAGGTAAGCCTCAACCGCACTGTTCAGCGCCGAGAACGGACCCACTGCCAGGCCCTTTTATCTGCGCCTCCAAGTACCTCGTCCCCCCCCGCCACTGGATGGCCAAGCGAATCCACTCTCCTCCCAAGGCGTGGGACACACGCACGCACACTTCAAAACTCACACCAGGGGGAAGGCGAGACAAGACGACGACTCTCTTAAGAGCATTTTAGTACATTACCAGCACCCCGTCCTAGAAAGGTTTAGCCGCCCACCCGCGGAGCGCCCAGGGAACCAGCCAGGGAGACCGGACGTCTACCACCTCCACTCTCCTCAGCTAGTTACCTCTAGCCCTGTCTGTCGCATCGACCAAACCAAACCCAACCCATCTTCGCCTTTCCATCGCTGGACGACTTGTCCTCGCTCTCTCCGCCGCATACCAGCCCTCACCTTCTCCTCCGAACAAACATCGCCATCTCGACATCGACTCACCTCGTCCCGTCCCCAAAACCTGCCGCCTTCGCCGCAGGGACGGACTTTGACCAGGGGGTGACGACAGCAGGCGACCCTGACCGTCTCTTTTTTCCACTGACCGACCTAACCTACCGACCTACCGACCGTGCCCGCCGTGTTCGCGTGCGTCTAGGGGCCCGTTCATATTGCACTGCACGTCTGCCCCCAACAGTCAGTCACGGACCTGTCTCGACAACGATCAACGCCGCTGCACCCGACATTCTTGCTTTTGAAGCCGGATCATTTTCAGCGACTACCAGCAGTCCCACATACATATCGCATACGGGCAATTATCGATACTACTTCGACCGGTGTCGATGCCTTTGACCCTCCCATTAAACCCCACCGCGAGACACCGACTATAATTTGCGACGCCGAAATCAATTACCCTACCCAAACACCACGACCCTCACTTCTTGGGCTACGCCTCCAGGAAGCCCCA